TTGGGCTGCATACTGGTATGCAAACCACAAAGGAGCAAATTTTTCATTGTGGGGCCGGCTGGATTGGAATGTGCACACTCTCCCGCAAAGGTATTGAATCTTTTTGCTGTTTGCTTCACAGCAATGCATGATAACCTCAATTGAGCACTGACACTTCCTTCAGAGAAGAAGGGATGACATTTTTCTCAAAAAATGTCATTGCAAACGATTGATTCAGAATGATATGCTAAAAAAAAACTTTTGTCTGGCACTTTTTTACCCTTTCAACAGCAAAATAACATCTTGGATTTATATAGCACCTTCCGTGTAGGGTAATGTCTTGGAGCGCTTCACAATGGCGGGGTTGGACGCCAAGCAAGAGAGAAGGGGGAAGGGTGATATTTTATTATAGTAGAAATAAAAATGTTACAATTCAAGCAAGTCCAGAATAAGAAAATGTGTTCTATCCCAATTTGAGTCAAGTAACATCATATCAGTTTGTGCAACATCATACAATAGTGACAGCCAATGCACCCAATCCCTCCAGCCAATTCTCACTCAGTTCAGCCACTCAGTCTAATTCCCACTGCTGGCACTGCCAACACCATTTACAAAAAAAATCAATAGCGCTAAATCTCATATGAATATTTTGATTCCGATGGCAGCACACTTAGAAGCTGTAGGGTTCACTCTCACAGTTTATGACATTGTGTTGTCTCATGTGTTATAGCCTGGTAACTCACTCCTGTGTGTATGTTCTTCGTATTACAAATGAATTGCCACTAATCCTTGGAGCTTTCTCGAATGATTTCTATGCATGGTTCAACTATCTCCACACTACAAATGAATAGTGACACTGTACAATATTATAACATATTAGTATACCAAAGGTTATCATACAATATTCAACAGCTGCAGTGAATGTTTTGTTAGGTCTTACGTGTAAAGGTAAAGGTTACTGCAGCAGTGAATGCCATATCTGCATTAATTGGGACTGGCCTAATTGGGTAACTGGAAAAAGTGTATATATCGGCCTCTGTTGTTTGTGTGTGTTTGTATGTCTGGCTCATCAACAGGATTTGGAGGGGCAATCCAGTCACTGGGAGCAGGGACTCTCCCCTCTCAGCTTCTATTAACTCTGCGAGTCAAATTCCTTATGGATAGGATAAGCAACAGAAAGCTTGCCTTACAGTACTCTCAATGGCAAGCTATTGTAGTTTTAGTTAGTTAAACTCTGGTAGTATCCCAATGTACACTCTAAAGTCCCCAAACCTTGGCTCTTATTAACCAGCCCCTAATACTCTCCAGAATTAAGTATGCAGGGTGCATTCCTACCAGTACTCACAGTCACATGCCATACATGTAAACTAAAAATGTTTTGCTGACAACACACACCAGCTTCCCTTCCACATCTCAGGGTCACAATGTGGATAAGCGGATATGCAAGTAGTCAGTCATATGGCGTTCTACTGTTTAGTCACCAGAACAGAGCATGATCACCTCAAAATGCTGGTAATGCAGTTATTGAAAAATTCTATGCCTCTATTTCTTGTAGTTAAGGCCCCTCATACATTCCAGCAGTAACGATATCCTACAAAATCTTTGTGTAAATCTTCCATGTACCTATCTTATTCCATAATTTTCATTTGAAAACCACTGTTGTCAGAGATGCTGAGATCTCAGATTTACTATTATTAGTTTCCTGGCTTTTTGACCAGTTTCTGTAATGGAGATAGCTCTAATGTGATAAGATCTATTCAGTACAAAGTGCATTTCACAATGTGACAAGCCAGTAGAAACCTCAATTCTCCCATTGCAATGCAATTCTGCACAGCTAGTCTTGCCTGAACTACTTGAACAGCAGTGCAATGAAGTTAAAGCAAGTAAATAATTCTGGGCTCTTTGAACACATTGCACAATGACAAATAGCTTCTCAATTCGAGAAAAAAACAGTTCAGCAGCTATCCGTCACTCACTCGAGCAAGTAGCTGATAAACTCCATCACAAAATAACCAAACACTTCAGGCTCCTTCTCAACAGCTGAAAATGAGATTCTTGTTTCTGATTGATGTTCGTAGAGAAGCTTGTAAAAATGCATTTCCAGATGATTAGTTCTGAGGGTGTCAATCTCATGCAGTTTTATGACCTGCAGACTACACACCAGATGTACATTTGCTTTACATAATCTAACAAAGACGAATTACTAAATTTCAGCGTGCCTCTTTCTGTACTTCTCTCTATATTTCCTGGGGGAGGAATTATACAGCAGTGCTAAAAGAAAACATTAACTCTTTTAGTTCTGCAATTGTATTTACTCTGCAGAATACTGCACTGTAAATACAAAGGAAGGGAATCAAGTGAATACCGGTGTTTTATATTTCAACTCTATTCTTTTTGAAAGACTATTTTTAAAAAGGGTTAGACAGTGGAGAGGAAGGAAACTGGTAAAGAAGACCCTCTCAGAGCCTCTATTATGGTAATATCATTGGACCCCAGCGGATGAGTGGAGGTCAAAACTTCACAAAGAATGGAGGTAAAAGTTGAAGGACATATACATCACTCCAAACTGCTATTGTGCAACCTGACAGGATTTAGAGTTCTAAAGGTTTGCATATAAGTGTCTTGCTCACGCCCTGACTGGAAATGGCACTGAGGTGGAGGAGAGAGACCACATTCTTGGTCTTGATCATTTTTACTCTATTTTTCCCAATTGACATTCAGGTATACAGAAAACAAGATCCTGGGAATGGTTACCGGACAAGAATTCATAATAATGCTTACATTTGATAAAGTGACTCTCTCGTTGGGAGGATGTCTCAAAGCGCTTCACAGGTTTTTACTGTACAGTGTTACGCCTGCATTTTGTAGCCAAAACACTCAATTGAAGTTGAGGTATAGATCAACCATGATCTAATAGAATAGCGGAACAGGCTCAAGGGGCTCAATGGCCTACTCCTGTTCTTATGTTCCTTAGCAGGCAATTTGCATACAGTAATGTCCCACAAACAACCATGAAACCAATGATCAGTTTTATCTGGGCGATTGTTGATCACGATACCAGGAGAAACTCCCTTGTCCGAGAAAGAACTCTGCTGGATCTTAGAAAAAGAAAGCAAAATTCAGCTGCTGTTCCCAATGTTTAAAGATAAAAAGACACGGACACTGAACAACACTTCCAAATGATCAAAACACTTCCCTCATCCTATTGAACTTTAATTAAAATAATGTTTCCTTGAATTGGCTTTGAATTCATTACCAGTTAATTATAAGGTATGCACAATAATTGATACTGTTCCCCACTGTTTTGCTAAGCAGTTTTCAAAGTACAATATTGTGCAATTTTATAGTTGTTGTAAAAAATGGGATATAGTATCAACCTCACTTATAATAATAATAATTCTTACATTTGATATAGCGCTTTTCACGTCTTCTTGACGTCTCAAAGCGCTTCACAGAATAGACTGTAAAGTGAATTGACTGAATATTTGTGGGCGAAACGCAGCAGCTAATTGCGCACAGCAGTGTCCCACAAACAGTCGTTGATTGAAAATGACCAATTTATTATTGTTTTGTTTTGGAGGGATTATTATTAGGCGTGTGGAGTAAGGAAACTTGCCCAAGGTTTCACCCTGCCTGGAATTGAACCCAGGTGTCTCGCTTATAAGGCGAGTGCTCTAACCACTGAGCTGCAGGACTACAAGACTGAACTGTTAACACAATGCTGTTGTGAAAAATTCCAATGCGCTTTAAAGCTTGTAATTGGGGAAATAACCCCAGAATTGCAAGACAATTCTATCCGGTAAAGAGGTTCAACTGAGATTGTATTTGTACAGTGAGAAAGACCTTACTATCCAGTTTCATCAATGGGCATCTATTGGTCAGGACTTTGAACTCACTTTGTCAGCTGACATTCAATGTAGCGCTAGGGAAATGTTTGAGATACAGTCCATTCAGATGAGATGTTAAACTATGGTCCCATCTGCCTGTTCAGGTGGACGTTAAAAGTTTTCATAACACTATTCAAAAAGAGAAAGGAGTTTCTCCTGGTATCCTACCCAAACAACCCCCAGATAAAATTGGTCATTCACTTCATGGCTGTTTGTGCGATATTGCTGTGTACAAATTGGTAGCTGTGTTGGCCTACAAAACATACAGCCACTACGCTTTACAAAAAATTGTGTGAAGCACTTTGAGATGGCTTCTCGATGTGAAAACTACTACATCAAATGCAAAGATTATTATTATTTTATCATCTTTTCAAATGCTAAGGAAACACAGTAGGATGGGTATCCGGGAAATATGAGATTGAATGGGCTAAATGGCATCAGAAGGTCTCTCATTATTTTGTGAAAGTGTCTCACTGTTGGTGCTCATTTTAAAAGGTAAATGCTTGCTATTAGTAGTCATTAATTTTCATCAAATAGTTGCATGAACCAGTTTTATTTTTGGGGGGGGATTGCTTTTATCAGGCATTCAAAGGTTTACATGCACAAATGCGTTTTGTGAATCCATTGATCAATTTTGATTGCATTGTGCTTGAGGCAAAGTGCATTGATTTATTAGGTTTGTCAGCATGGATGTGGGAGTAATGTGTGTTAAGGGTTGAAACAATTTACTTCTGAAGCCGCAGGGGTTTGATTCAGCAGGAGCGGTGGGGTGGGGGGGGTGGGGTGGCGGTAGCCTAACTTGAGACACTCCAGTAGTTAGGGTAGCTACCCTCGCTTCAGCCGGGTCCCTGTTCTTCATTTACTCCTTTGTGTCACCAGGAAGGAGTCCAAAACACTTCCAAAATGATGACTTTCAAAATAGGTAGATCTCTCTCTAACATTCTGTTACAACTTAAAGATAATTGTGTTGTTTACAATCCATGAATACAGGCACAAAGGTTTGCTTTCCACTGGCCTTAGTGATGTTTGGCATTTTGTGAGTTAACAAAACCAACTGGGCAGTTGGGGCTCTTCAAATGTGGTGGATGAATAGTGACTAATACATTTCTCCCTTGACTGATTTCCATTCTGCAGATGGACTTGTAGATTGCATGGATCCTGATTGCTGCTTACACAGTTCCTGCCAGAAACAGCCTTCCTGCCGCGGGTCTCCTGACCCGCTAGATATTATTGGTCAAAGCCAGCAGCCACCCTCTCAGCAAGCTGCCAAGTCCTTCTATGATCGCATCAAATTTCTTATTGGACCAGACAGCAGTCATGTCCTACATGGGGAAAATCCTTTCAACAAAAGGTTAGTGTGTTATTGCTGAAATGAGTGCAGGTAAATTAGATGGCACATCGTTGTGTTCAGTGTTGTCTGTTTTACAAAAGTTGTAAATTTCTCACAACTTCTCAGTGTGTTTTCGTTCTTCAGGCATATTTCAGTTCACTGCTTTAAATCGCAGAAATCCCCGGCAGTGTTTTTGTCAATTATTCCACCCCCTGGGCAGAACGGCTCTGAGAGAAAGTGCAATCAGTATACAAGCAGTTCCGTGGTAAATTGGGAGTTGTGTAAAACCCATTAATATGAACATTTCCTTTAAAACTCTGGGCTTTGCCTTATTCGCATCAGTGCCTTCCAGTTGGCTTTAATGCAAGTCCACATGGAAGTACAGTACTGGGAATAGGCACAGAGCAAAAGGCAACATTACTATGCAAACACAAGCTATGTCTATTTAGATATAATGCAACTGGCTTCAGTTAAAGAAGGATCAGAAATACAGCTTTGAGTATAACCCCTATCAAATTATAGTGTTCCTGATCTGAGTTTAGAAATTTAAAATTTAAAAATTGCATTTTTAACAAAGTTACAAAAAGAGAAATAACTTACCATTAACAGACTGAAAATCATTTAAAAGCTGTTAGAGTTACAGTGTTATATTTTCTTTTTATACTTGTAGCCTTTAAATGTGTTACGTCCTATCACCTGGTTATGTATAAATCCAGGAACCATGCATATGAATGATTTTCAAGTCCTTAGGTAATTGTACATCAAAGGATTTATAGAGAAGAGGTCAGAAAAAAATTATTTTTAACACAGAGTTGTTAGAATGTGGAATGTATTAGCACAAATGGATGTTGAAGCTGAGTCTAAACCAACATTTAAAAGGGAATCGTATAAATATTTGAGGAGAAATATATTAAAGGTTATAGAAAAAGAGCAGGTGGGTTTGATAAAAGTAGATACATGTAACTCCATTGTGGGAGCTAGCACTAGCATAGATGCTAAGGGCCAAGATGCCTGCTGTGTCTTAAGCTTGTTATTATTTTATTGCAATTTTTATATTTTTAAGTGAAAATAGCTTCTGCAAACATATTGTTGAAGAAGTTGTAAAAACATTGGTTCCACGCACTCTCTCCTACAGGGATAGAGGAGAAAAAAGTTGGACCCAATCATTCACTCGCTCACCTCTGAGTTGCTATCCACAAAGTAAATGTGATACAGACCAGAAAAGCTGTGCCCTGCTTGCCAGCAGGAGATCTGAAAGAGAGAAGGGGGAAAATGCATAAAGGGATGAGAAATGCAATGTTCATAACGCATTCTGTGTATCACCTCAAATCTGTTAATGAAATGTTACGTTTTTCACTGCCAACATAATTTAGTTGAGCATTAAGCAGCCTAACTACAGTTTTCTAATGCAGGGCAGGGCCATGTGAGAAATTGAATTTATCTACAGATTGCTGCTGAGAGCACCACCTCTGTAAATCCACAAATCCTCATGTAGATTCCCAAGCTTCAGACTACATGGACAAGTTTCAAAGCACTTTCAAGGCTTTAAAGCAGACTAATGAAGTAAAGCGTAAATTTAATAACATCGTAACCAACTGTAATAACGAGGCACAAATTATATTTGATTAGCTTTGATGAATTTCTAATGACCTGAAGATAAAGTGAGAACACAAACAGTTGTCTACCTTCTCCCAGAGCTGGAGTTCACCATATTACTGCAGAGCATGGGACCCTCCTGGAATCCAACTGACCTAATCCTCCTGATGGGGTGGCCAGAGCAATCGTGTTTTACAAAATACCATCCACGGCCCTGCCTCACCCGACTTATTTGACCTTCTACAACCCTACTGCTCAACAAACACTGGGCTGCTTCATGTCGTGCTCGCCTTATCCCACCAGTAGTGGGTGAGCTTTCAGACATTTTGCCACCATCTCCTGGCATTTATCTTGGAGACCCTCTGCATTGCCCCCTCCCCGCCTTCAGAACCCACCTTAAGAACTACCTTTTCAACCACCACAATTCTGTCTATATTTAACCCTTTCCCCTCGACCACTGCCACCTCCCCTCAACTGTTCTCCTCCCTTGGACAAGCTCCCAGTCGACTGTATGACATGCTTTGAGATGTCCTTGCAATGTGAACGATGTTATGTAAATTGTTGTTCTATTTTAGCTTCTGCACTTTCTTCAGGTTTAAAATGTAACATTCCTGTCCGCCTCTCCTCACCCGAAATTCTATAAATTTTCCCCTTGCTGTCCTCTGCGAGCTTTATCACTATTAATTAAAAAACTTTGATGAAAAATAAGCTGTGTGTAAACACAAAACATAGATTTAAAGAAGTTGTATACTTTATGAATCTGAAGCGTGGATCATAAAATTATTGATCGTAATAAAATGTCAAGGGAATCCCTGCAATAAATCAAAGGATCTGAAACAAAATTAGGGGTGTTTAATGAAGATAAATGCCCTTAGAGCAATCAAAGTGTCCTTGGCTCTATATTTTTAATGGCCTTTTTGCTAAACAGCATAATCTGATAGAACACGCCTGCTCACAATCTAGAATTGAAACTCTACTGATGCTTTTGTTGTTTTATTTCTCTCTCTCCACAGCCTTGGCTCTGTCATCAGAGGACAGGTGCTTACTGCAGATGGAACCCCTCTCATTGGAGTGAATGTGTCCTTTCTGCACTACCCACAGTATGGCTATACCATCACCCGGCATGATGGCATGTGAGTTTGCACATGGGTTCAGATTAAACCCTGATTCGACCCGACAGCAATAATACAACAGCTAGATATACCTAACACAAGATACGTGCTCAGTTGGGAATAGTGATATCAGTCCTATTGATCTGCTTGACTCACTTGGGACTTCAGTGCATATCCTGCCCCTACCCCAACAATTGGTGGCTGAACCTTCAGTTACTTCATGGTGAATCTCTGGAAACTTATTCTTTCACCCCTCAGCCAATGCTCTCTCTGTCTGCTTTCTTAATTGCTGTATGAAAACCTATCTCTTCGACCACAGGTATGGTCATTTTCCTATTCACCCAACCCCTTTCCTTTCTCCTTTGCTAAACATCCAACCCGTTCATTGTTAAGCACTGCCAGATGATATCCTACATAAAGGACACCATATGAGGGAGAGAAGTGAGTTTCTCTCAGTTTCCTGGCCGACAATCCCTCAAATAAAATTGGTCATTCACTTTATGGTGGGACATTGTGGAAAATTGCTATGTGCAAAATGACTGTTTGTGTTTGCCCATACAAAAAAAAACTGTGCAGTTTATTCTGTGAAGTGCTTGGAGACATCTCCCTGATGTGAAAAGTAAACCAAATTTACGGATTATTGTAAGTGCAAGTTGTTGCTATTATCGTTCCAGAACATTTTTTTAAGAAAATAGAACAAATATTGTGTTAAAGTTCATTTGCATTGATGAGTATTTTCAACTGTTATTTTAATACCCCACGTCTGTGTGAACCTATCAATAGGATAGTAAATCCTGGGATTCACTTTCTTGGTATTTGGAGAAGTATTTCATCAACAGATATGAATAGATGAGTTTCAGAGATTTCAAACTGAAATTGTCAGGTTTGGATTTGTGCAAAGGCATCAATATTATTTGCTTCAGGGAATATCGGATACAGTCCTTTGTATTACTGCAAGATTTCTGTGGCAGATGCATTTGATCTTCATTTCACACTGCTGGGAAGCTGGAAAGTCAGGAAGATTTTCAGCTAAATACAAACCTATCTGTATTTACAAGTTAAAAATTTGTGTTTTTTCTCATTTTAAAACCTCGCACGGAGAACAACAAAAAAGTGTCTTTTGTTCGAATGCAATGTGAAGTTTGACACAAAGCGAAGCATAAAGAGCAGCCATCTCCTCTTCCAGCTGGCACTGGACTCAAGACAATAGATTTTTAAAAAATGATATTATTTTCTAAATTCCTCTGGAAGTGCAGCCTGCAGCCATTCTTCCCACGCACTGATCAAAATATTGTGGCACTAATGGATTTGCCTGTAATTAGACCACAATTTTAAATACTATGTTTTTTTCCAATCGTCGGTAACAAATGACAGTTTTATTATGCTGAGCCTATATTTAAATGTTGAGGCTTGTCAGTGTTCGGCAATACATTCGCTCACAGTTTCCCCCTCTCCCCTTCCCATTAGGAGCAAGTTATCCAATTTTCAACTAAGTAGAATGCAGGAAGGAACAGAGAGCAGCCAGAGAGAAATCCTTTTCCATAATTTTGCATAGAATTACAAAGAACTTTGCAGCACGGAAACAGTCTATGCAGCCCAATTAGTCTGTGTTTATACACTATTGATCCACACACCCCTGTCCTGTACCTGTCTACTATCATTTCTTTCATCATTTCTTCATAAATACATAGATGATTTTTGATTCATCCACCGCTCACGGCGTGAGTTCCAGATTCCCATCACCGTCTGCGTAAAGAGGTTCCGCCTAAACTCCCTTTTAGATTTGCAGCTGACTAGCTTACATTTATGTTCCCTTGTTTTGGATTCACCAACAAGGGGAAACAACATCTGCCTTATTTAATCCTTTTATAATTCACAAGCACATTTGTCGGGTCTCATCTCCAGAAAGAAAAGATCCAACCTGTCCAATCTTAGCCGTATCCCTTAACTGTAATTAATGAAATCCTTGTAAATCTACACAGACCTTTCTCCAATGCTACAATATCCTTCTTGTAAAATGGTGACCAGACCTGCAAACACACCTAAGAGGAGTTTCCCCACCCCCCCCCCCCACCCCAATTCAAACCAGGTAATTGATTAATCCACCAGGAAATTGATCGTGCCACCCCCCGACCCACCCACTCCACCTCTCTAAAGATAATTGTAATGGAATGTTACTAGGTATTGGTGCACTGTATATTCTGTTATGTGATGCAGGTTGTCTCTGGCAAAGTATTGATTTTCTATTCTCATTGCTCCTTATGTTCAGGTTCGACTTGGTGGCAAATGGCGGTGCCTCTCTAACCCTTAGCTTTGAACGTGTTCCGTTCATTACCCAATATCGCACAGTGTGGATTCCATGGAACGTTTTTTATGTTATGGACACTATGGTCATGAAGAAGGAAGAGAACGAAATTCCCAGCTGTGACTTGAGTGGATTTGTGAGGCCAAATCCCATCATCTTGGCCTCTCCTTTATCCACCTTTTTCCGTTCATCTCCTTCAGAGAGCCCCATTATTCCTGAAACACAGGTATCCAACGCTTTTTATCAAATTCACCTCCTTTCCCTGCTGGCTGACTAGAACGACCCTACGTGAAATTAGACACTTAAGGCATCAGTCCACAAGTCAAAACTGCCATGATTTGGCACTAAGTTTGTTGCCTCACTCACGTTTAAAATTAATTTGGAATCTGATGAACTAGGATGAATTTTCTTGTATCCTACTTCACTTTATAATATAGGACAATTTTCCCGAATCTGAATTCTGTCAAGTTGCTTACCTGTCACAAACAAAACAAATCCCAGTGAAATGATCGTTTTGATGCACATCATGTAAATGTGATCACATGGTGGGAACGTGAGCTATAATCCCACCTGAAGAAACCAGGCAATTGTTTCACTATGACCCCATTCATGATTCAGTAGTTGACAAGGGTTGCAAGAATCTGTTCCGGTTCAGTACCTGGGAGCTCGGTAACACTTTCACTGTCAATTATGCACAAGAAATTAGGAATGCTCTATCTTCCAATTGACCCCATAGGAAAATAGATCAATTGGTTGTTGTCGGAACCATAAAAACGTTACACTGAGCTCACGATTTAAGGTGCATCATTTACGTAGTGTAAGAGTGAGTCTTGTACTGTATATGACTTGTGCTTTAGTAAGTAAACAAAATAGAGCAAATCCACTATCCCACAGAATTGACATCCTTCGACTTTAAAGACCACAAAAATCAGTGAAAAATAATGAAAACATTAAGACAACTCCACTTGATAAAGACTGTGTTAGCTTTGCTTAGTCTCTGCTGACTGTAAGTCCTTCGCCAAGTACTTGACAAATCTTTTACAGCCAAATCACTCTCTGAGCGAAAAGGTAGCTCCATCTCACGAAAGAAAGAAAAGTTATGAACTCTGGTGTGGCTAATAATGTTCTAATGCCATGAAGCCACACAATATAGTTCAAGCTTTGCAGTGGGGTGATGGACAGCCAGGATCTTTTGTTTACTGAAAGAAATGAGTGAAAGATCATGTACTGTAGCGCAGGACACCACTGAGGTTGAGAAAATAAAGTAGTAGAGGATCACATATAACAGTAGAAGTAGTTAGTTTACATGAGTATTAAAATATTGTGATTTATGAAATGAAGAAAAGATAGAGGATTTATCTGCTAATGACATGATCCAGCTCCTTACCTATGATCACACACAATATAATGTGTGATTATGTTTGACATTATATTCCTCCGTTCTCTCCCTCATCTGCTTGAGTCGTTCATGCATTGTGACTGAGGACCATGCGGATAACATGTTGCCTATCTGTGCTAGTACCATTCCCAGCCAGCTGTTAGAAATTGGACAACAGTAGCATGAAAATAATGCTCCCCTTGTGATTTTTCACTCTCTTTCTCCTCTTACCTCCATAGTAAGGAGGTGCTAGGCCTCTGCTTAACACATATGCACTTCACCAGCAAGGCTGAGATTGGGAACTCAGTCAATACAATACAAAATTACATTTGTATAGTGCCTTTCACGGCGGGAGGACATCCCAAGGTGCTGGACTGAATGAGAGAGGATTACACCTGCATCCTCCTGCGCCGTGGTGCCACGTAGTCAATTCATGCTCCAACATGCGGTATCACCACGCCACCATACCCTGATGACTTATTTTATTAAAAGGTTTACGTTCACACACCTGTGGTCTGTGATACAATATAAACTTCACGGCACTGTGTGCAGACATAATTACATTCTTCAATCAAATTTCCCCGTTCCATATCGACAGCCCCATCTGTACTGTTTAATGGAGTGCAGGTAATCCCTGCCCTTGAGAAATCACAGTTGAAATGAAAGCTATGTAATAAGTGATTTTTGGATTAAAACCTCCCCAGTGATTGTGTGCGTAGTCATGGCCTTTGCTTTTGCTGTAAACAAAGTCTCACTTGATACCCGCTAGGTGCTTCATGAAGAGACGGAGATTCCTGGCACGGATTTGCAGCTTACCTACTTGAGTTCACGCGCTGCTGGGTACAAACCAGTTCTGAAAGTCACCATGTCCCAGAATGCGATCCCTTTCAACCTGATGAAGATTCACCTGATGGTGGCCGTAGTGGGCCGACTGTTCCAGAAATGGTTCCCAGCGTCACCAAACCTATCGTACATCTTCACATGGGATAAAACCGATGCCTACAACCAAAAAGTCTACGGCTTGTCTGAGGCCGTGGGTAAGTTCGATGGAGAACTTCTCCTGTGAAAAGTCATAATGTCGATTTTTTAAAAAATCTGTTTCCCCAGATCCCTGCAGCATTACCTAAAGCTATGTAAAAGAGCCTTTTTTCCTCATTTATGTTAATTAATGGCATGAACTTTGAGAATCTAGCCTGCAGAATCTCTGTGGCGATCTTAATATTTTTAACTGAGTAGCTGTCTTTTCAAATCAGACAATTGTATACTGCAGAACTCGCGAACAGAATATTGAGATTGCAGAACCAAAGAGACGTTGCACCTTTTCAGAGAAGACAAAACTCATGGTGATGAAAGTCTATTCAAGTATTTTTTTGAAGACTTTAATCGATTTACTGCTGCAATGCTGTACCTCTCTGTCAAGTTCCCACAGCTGTCTGGCTCGATCATTTTCTTTGGTTGCAGTTAGGCAGACAATTCTAGATGAGGTTTGATGAATCTAGGGAATCATTGACCAAAGAACAATGGAAGGCATGAATGAACTCAGCCGGAAGCTGATCCATAGTATTGTATGATTAACAATCTTTATACTGTGTGACCAGTATCTTTTGCAGCCATTCAATTTCTGCTACATCGACGTTCGGATGTTTTTGCGTGATAAATAAATCAAATAAAAACTTACCTTCACTGTCATGGGTTGGATAAGTACAACCCTTAGCTTTTGTGTGAAAATATGGGCTGCAAAGCAAGTTTGAGGCCTGTTCCTGGAAAACAAAACAGGCATCAAATTAAATGGGTTTACATTATTCATGTGTTGGAGCTCTTGGAGGCTAGGACCCACAATCTCCAGTCTTCAGTGTAATTGAGAACTATTCATTTGGACAGCAAATTGGTGCACTAACATGAAGCGAGTTCCTGTGAGTCAGGAAGGTGGTTCTCGGAACATTGTAAAAGGGACAGGCATGGGTCCAAATTGATCTTTTCCTCCTGCTATGTAGTGGATTTGAATTCTGGAAGGATGAGATCAAATAACTGAAGTGCCTCCTTACCTGAACCTATCTTGTGATCTTGAGATGCATTTGGTTTAACGCAGGCAAATAGAGCAGCCTCGGGACACAACAGTGGCTGGCTAGCTTGTCTTCATTATAATAACATAGATCAAAGAGGTGAAAAAATAAGAAACAAACCAGCGTGTTTTTATTTTGAAATGCCAACATGTACCAGGAGCACAGTGCTATTTAACCAGGAGAAATTCTAGTTGAATATATCTGTTTTAGTTGTGTTTTTATCATGTCATGTTTTAGTTTCTATAAAGTTTGCACAAAATATTATTTGTTCAATAATGATCTTTTTCCCCCGCTAGTTTCTGTTGGTTATGAATATGAATCCTGCCTGGATCGTATCCTCTGGGAGAAGAGAACGGCTATTCTCCAGGGTTACGAACTGGATGCTTCAAACATGGGCGGCTGGTCAATCAACAAGCACCACGTTTTAGATGTTCAAAATGGTAAGTTACTGTATTTGAATGTTGAAAAGCACTGGCCATCTGTACCATTTGATATAGATGGGCAAGAATCAGCAGATTTGTTGATCTTATTCATAGCAGCTCTGCCTCATTAACCTGGCTCTGTAGCTTTGAAGTGTTTAGTCATTGAAAGTTTCAGTTTTCCATTGGGCGGTTTGTTTGATGCAAGTTGACCTCTTTCCCCAACATGGAGATCCTTATCTAAGCAATAGTTCTGTTCAGAAGCACATGCAATTTTAATTTTCATGCCACCTAAGGATATATTACAGTGACACATGTGTAAGACAGAAGTTGGTGAATCAACCTGAGCCACAGTTTGGGATTGGCTTCAAGAGTAGGAGGAAAATTAAAGAGATTTACCCCTCAAATTCATAATTGTTGGATGAGATGTTAAACCGAGGTACCATTTGCTTGTTCAGGTAGATGTTAATGATCCTGTGGCGCTATTCAAAAAGAGAATGGAATTTACCCAGTGTCCTGGCCAACAATCCCCAAATAAAATGAGGATATTCATTTTATGAATGTCTGTACTGACATTGCTGTGTCCAAATTGGCTGCTGCGTTCACCTGGAAAATACAGTCGCTACACTTCACAGTAAAATCCTGTGACGGATCCCAAAAGGCACTATATCAAATAAGATATAAGATCATTATTATTATTTATTATTTATTATTTCAATATCCAGCATTCACATTTGTTTCTTTTTAATTTTCTCAATCTTGTGCGGTGGATACAATTTACTGAAACGATCAAGAGTGCTAGGAGCTGTTGCCAATGGATGTAGGACTCATTCGCTGGGTCTTGTACTCTTGCACATCTGAGAAACGCAGGAGAGGGAAAACAATCTCAATGTGTTACAAAGACTATTTTCAGAAAGCGATCAATTTTAATTACGTGCATTAAAACCACTCAAACGAGGCAGAACTTCAATTTGCCTTTCACTAACTTGTCAGAATGGAGTAATTCAATTGGGTCCAGGCGGGCAATCATTCTTAAAAACACTGTTATCAAACCTACCCCACTGAGTAGAAATAATGTTCCTGCTATAAATCCACTAATTTTATTTTCCATTTAAATGAGCAGTTTTCAGCAGCATTACTTTGTTGGAACTCCAATTAGCGTATTAGGTAAAATCTGGCAATATAACGCCATGCATAAAATTTGCACAAGAAAATAAGCTATTTGAACCTCAATCCAGAATGCGCTGAGCATTCTGGCCTGCAACCTTGGAGTCCAACTCCCATTTCTGTGGAGTGTTACACAGCACAGCTGCCACTATCATATTGCCAGATCTTAACAAGTTGCTGTGAGGCATGTCTGACATTTTGCGTTCACTGACAGGGCGAATGACTAACATATTTTCCAGATCCATGTTTCTCTTTTCCTGTCCTGAGAATGTTGACTCTTTGCTGGTTATAGTCCCACAGAGACAAGCCACCCTCTTTAACCGACTCCAAATGGGCATTCTTGAATGTGAGCTCATCTATATAACCCATATTAGCTATATAACCATGGGAAACATCACACTGAGCCTCACATCTCTCCTCACCCAATGTTCACCCACACTGCCACTGGCTGGTAATCAGAACATGAATCCTGGCTGATTTTTCACCCCATCTTTATTCATTGACCCTGAAGTCAGTTTGTAGGGGAACCTGTTGCTGGGATCAGTAAGCTCAGGGATCTAACTTGGGATCTTCCAAGTTTGTTTGCTTCAGATTCACCTAGAGCAGTTACTTTACCGATTGAGCTATCAGAGGTTATATATTGAGGTGCATTAGTTGTGTAAAGTAACAATCTTAGCATTATCTGTTTACAGTGGGAAGTCCTATTATAGAAACAGCGCCAACAAATCTCTCTGTTTACTGACATGGTATATATGTCTATTACGGAATGCTCAATAATGGGGTCTAACATACGGTATTTCTTAAACAAATGTTTTAATAATAATCCTCCTTATAATCCTTGCATTTGGTTTAGCGCTTTTCACATCAGGAGAATGCCTTCACAGTGGAGTGGACTGTTTTGTGGACAAACACTGCAGCCAATTTGCACAGAGCAATGTCCCACAAACTGCTGCATTTGCCAACAAATACACAGTCGCTACACAGCAAAATCTTTACCCACAGGATTATTAACACATGTAAAAAGGTTACCAGGAATGGTAGTTGAGGCTAGAATGCGGAACTCATTTAAGAAACAGCTTGATGTTATAATGAGAGGACAGTAGGGTGGGTACATTAGAAGGACAAGATCAAATTGGTCGAAGGGTCTTCTTCGTTCAAACAAATCTTGTCACCGAATGAATCCTGACCCACGGAGCATTCGCCAAGAAAAAAAATCAGGAGCATAAAGGCAGTGCCACTCACTCTTGCGCAGATAAGTGGATGCTTTATATTATCCCGGGATTTTGAATGACAGGCAATCACTTTCTAACGTGAATTGCAACTAATTGAATGAATGACATGATTAGCTCTTACGACAAGCTCAGCAAATGGCAGATGTTTTCACACCCAGAAGAAGCGGTCATAAATATTCTAATGGCGATAAAATATTGTTCGTTGCCCCATTTATATTTTATTGAGGGGACTTGTAAGGCACTAATTTTTCATAATAATTACAGAATGAATCAGGTGTAATAATGGACTGTGCTGACATGAAGGATTCTTTTGCTGAAAATTATGGAACTCAGCTATTTGGAGAAAAGTAATGGTCACAGTTGGGTGACGTGAATGTACACCAGAAGCCGGTCACAGCCTGTTTCAAAGCTGTTTAGTGGGTTACATTAATTCAACAAGGCCTTATTTGGAGCAAATGTGGAAATGTCATTTATCCGATTTATCACTTTTAAAAAAAGAAGTGCACGAACAATCCGTGAATTAATATTCCATTATGTTATATTTTCTCCCCTCTTTAAGAAGCAATATCTTAAAATTTAAGAAAGTGCAGACTCTTGAAAGTCTACAGTTTGACTTATTTTGGAAACTGTGCTCTTATGGATACTTGTCGTGATCGTAATTTTTAAGGTGTTGGCCTTAAGCCTAAAACCATTTCTTCCCTCCTTGAATTCCACACATACACAGTTTGCAGCAGCAGTCACTGGATAGTGATCAGGAACAGCAACCTTCACTGGTCATTCCACTTCCTGGCTAGATTACTTATTGTGTCCTTATCACTTGACAATCATGGATCATCTAACCACCATAGTCATGAAAGATACCATATCAAATCCAAGGATTATTATTAAAGTACCGGGAAACCCTGTTATAACTTAGTTGACTGGGTCCGATATCTCTTTGTTTGCATTATAAAAAGAGGCACAAAACAATATTTTATTTCCAGGTACAGTCTGAATTTAGGCTTGTAGCACAAGTAGGTTCCTTGCGATGTCCTCCCGAGTGAAAGGTGCTATATAAAACCAATTTATTGTTGTAGCTGTAACACCAAACAGCATTTCGGCAACACATTACACCTGGGATTTTTATAAATAAATGATCTCAGTATTAACTCTAAACGGTTGAGTGACTGGGGGAAATGAGAGACTGCTGAGGAAGTTGCATAAGAAGTGGCATCAGTGACGCTTCCTGCGCATAGCGTGCAGGAAGTGATACGATGATGATTTGATAAACCGGAAATTGTCAATTTTTTAGGAAATACACCAAATCAGGTGTATCATACTTCCAGATAGCAGGACCCGCAGGCGATGCGGTGCTACATAGGGGGGCCTTTGTACCAACAAAATTGAAAGGGAATTATAACAATATTTCAATGGGCAATAATACAATATCAGAATAACTGAATGTACTGTGTTCAAATTATTATTTTTAGAACAGCACTAATCTTCAGTTCTGTTAACGGACACCAATCTAGTGCAGAGTTAATTTTGAAATCAGAGCCAGATAATACCAAGTTATGTTTGGAAAATTTATTGAAGATGTTTATAATTGAAGTCATTATTGAATGACTCTGTAGGCTTATTGATATCAGTTTCAGACTTGATATTTTCTAAATGGAGGGCTATAGATGCTCCAGCAGCAATTGCGAAGATCACACTTTATTTCACACCTTGGATGAATCATCGAACTGATGGGTTTGATTAGAAATTAATAAATTATATTATGAGGTTTCTGCTCCCCTGTGTGTTCAGAGTATGAACCTGGTCTTATAGCATGCATGGCTGTAAAACCAGCATTTGCAACACATTACACCTTGATGGGATCTAAACAGAATAGCAATCTGAGTATTAACTTTAAAACGTTGAGTGGGAATGGGGAGGAAATTTGACAGGCTGCTGATCATGAACTGACTGAGTCTATCAATATTTGCTATGAAAATATAAACTCTAATTGGCAGCTTTCAACCTTTCACTTGACATTTTGAAAGATGCTTTGAAAACTAGTTTATATCAATGTACTGTACCATTTTGTGAAAAGTATTTTTTGGGGAATAACCTTATTTTAATCCCTGCATTTTATCAATGACATAGCGCTTTATCACATCGCTGAGACACATCAAAGTGCTTCATAGGATTTTTACTGTGACTCGCCTTCGGCTAACCTTGTAGCAAAGCCAACTTGTAAAAAAAAATCATTGCATTTGATATAGTGCTTTATAAGATTGCCAGAACATCTTAAAAGTGCTAAACAAGGATTTTATTCTCAAGTGTAGTGAATGTACATTTGTAGGCAACCTATAAAACAATAAATGGTCCAAATAAGCACCTTGAATCTTTATCTATTAATTGGTAACAAAAGTGGGAGTTTTGCCTGATCAACAATTCTCCAGTTTAATTGATCATTCATCTCATGACTGTCTGTGTGGTCTTGTTGTCTAAATTGCTGATGTATTTCCCTGCAGAAACAACCAGTACACCGCTGGTTGCCTCCTTTTCCAGGCTCACGTACAGAAGACTGGGTTTCAGGGATGCCAAGATGCAATTGTGAAGGACGCTATATAAAAATTAGTTGTTTTTTAGGGGGTCTGGATTCAACAATCAATGAAACTATGACTCGGTAGATGTGCACAGGCTGTATAATAATAATCTTTGATAATAATTCTTGTATTTGATGCAGCATCTTTCACTTAAGAAACTCATTCCTTGCCTCAATATATTGGAACATGCATAAATTGAAAGCAAGATAGAACCCAAATAGTATCCAGATAGTATCCAGAGATAGCATCCAATTTAATTGCTTAACATTTATCATTATCTCTTGTGGACACTCACAGATTTGGTTTAGGGAGATGGAATGTTTTATGCACTGCAAGCAGTGTAACTACACAATCAGGAAGTGACGAGCTGTGGGTCAAAGCAGACTCTGTGTATGGTACACACCCTCTGTGGGAACAAGACTGAATTGTTTCAGGAGGTGATGATAAAAAGACATCTCTGAAGATTGCTCCTTCTCTCGTCTTCAAAGGAGAACTTCAATGTCAGAATACCATACTCGCACTGCTAAATAATTCATAGTGAACATGATGTTTGCATCTCGAGTCAGTTTGATGTTGCTGCTGTTTTTATTACCTACACAGATCAGGGACTGCATGCTGAGCACTGTGGCAGGATGGTCAGTCTTAAATTTAGCACACACGGCAGCGATGTGCAAAATGTTCTGATTTGTTCTGTTCTGAGGTTGAACCTTTTAGACGGGCTGTAAAAACCAGGGCGAGAAACACTGCAACTGGTTCAGTAAGCTAAAAGAAATCTTTCTGCCCTGGATATCTGTGACCAATTGGCTGCTGCATTTTGTCCATAAAATACAGTCAATTTATTTTACAGTATAGTCTATGAAGAGCTTTGAGATGGATCAATGATGTAATAAGGCACTATATCAAATGCAAAGATTATTATCACCTGAGAAAATACTTATGTGTAATTTCCAGATTCTCAACAAACGTTGAACGACAAAGCATGCCTTCATCCACACTACTTTGTAAATCAACTGAAAAATACATTGTGTTTGTTAGCTTTCTTAATATGATGGGCAGTGATTTAATGCTCAACAACAGAAAAATCTTTACAAAATCTGTGGCAAACCCTCAGCATCACATTACTGTGTTTCTAAATCTCTACAAGGAAACAAATGTATAGGAAATGATTTTTGATGCAGTATTTTATTGCGGCTCTCAAAGAGTTGTTCAAACGTCTACTAGCATTAAGCAAATCCTACCACCCAATGTGGTCTGATTTACCAGCCAATAAAATGTTATTAAAGCACATTGAAAAGACCAGCTATTATTTGAACTTTCTGGGATCCTGCTGGCACAGCATTTTTTTTTACTGTCAACAACTGGAAATTATTCTGCAACTAAATTTTATTTTTCCGCTATCTTTTAAAAGAGGAAATGTTTGTAGCATGTGCTCTGGTTTAAAATCAGCTCTGTAGTGTTCGATCCTATCTTCAGGTTATCAATCAGCAGTTCATCTCTCTCTGTCCCTCCCTCCACCAACATCCCCTCTCTTCCCCGGCTGACCTAGTTTCTCAGGTAACTGGTTTCTCAGGCTGAAGCTTGCTTGGCTAGCAACTGCGTTGGACACTAATCATAACGTGTCTCTTTCAGCAGACGTCTCATTGCACATAGGACGAAAATGAAAAGCTTTTTTTAAAACAAAAAAACTTCCAAAATATACAAAGTGTACATCCTCAACACACAGATCTCAGGAGGTTTAAACAGCGCATATAGTGTGATGCAGAATCATGCAGACCTGGTTTCATACCTGGTCGGTGCTGAGTTACTTGATCTCAACCAGTAAGGCCCAACACAATTTGACCTTTATGCATCTGGCTAGGTTTGGAAATATAAGTCACAGTTTCTCCTCTTGATTGCAGATTCTGCCAGTGTTGCTCACAACCCAAGAATGACTAAAATTAATACATTTTTTAAAAAATAAAATCCTGTCCAGCAGTAACCACAAAACTTGGCTGGCAGCACTCTCACCTCTTGAGTCAGAAGGATGTATTCAAGCCCCACGTCAAGACTTGGAAGTCAGAATCTAGGGCTGGCCGAGACTCCAGTGCAGTGCTGGGCATTTGCTGTGTTGTTAGACCTTCGGATGAGACAATAAACCAAGGTCCTGTCCGCCTTTTCGGGTGGACGCTAAAGATTCCAAACAGAATCAATTCAAAAACAGAAGGTAGTTTTTCTCATTATCCAAGCCAACAATCGTCCAGATTAAAATTGGTAATTATCTCCATGGCAGTTTCTGGGAGGTTGTTCAGTGCAAATTTTCTGCTGTATTGATCTACAAATAGTCACTACACTTCAGGGTAAATCCTGTGAAGTACTTTGAGTTGTCTCGATGACATTAGACACTATATCAAATGCAAGGAATATTAAAACATTTTACCAAGTCGATTACTCTTGTGTTCGATCAGAGTTAATTTTGGCCCTGCTGTTCTCCGTCATTGCTTTGAGAACAGCGTTTCCTGGAACAATTAATTGGTAGGCTGCGTATAATTAGCAGCCATAATTGAAATACCATTTTAAATGTAATTTCCTTTTCCCGACATATAAACGCCACCTTCATCCAGTGCACTTGGCCAACATGTCTGATATTGAATCTCGCTGTTTATGCTATAGCAGTGGCTAAACCAACAGGTGAATGTCTAATGAGTTTAGTATTTGAAGATTGATGCAGCCTTCATAGTCGGAGGTGATTTAATCTGTATTCTCTTTCCTGAAGTGCTTGAGGCAGAGACTGTCTTAATCAATTGATTTGATTGGTGTGGTCTAATGTGAAATTGAAATCGTGCGCTGTGATTTATGATGATGAGTTTGCAATCAAGAGAAATGCCTTATTGTTTGTGGCAGTGATAAAGTTAGTCTTATCGTTCTCACATTAGGTATCCTGTATAAGGGAAATGGAGAGAACCTATTTATATCTCAGCAGCCAGCTGTGATCCATAGCATTATGGGTAGTGGACGGAGACGCAGCATCTCATGTCCAAGCTGCAATGGCCAAGCCGATGGGAACAAGCTTCTGGCACCTGTAGCTTTGGCGTGCGGGATTGACGGCAGCTTGTACGTCGGTGATTTTAACTACATCCGTCGTATCTACCCTTCAGGAAATGTGACGAGCATTCTGGAGCTAAGGTAGGTCCAGAGTAATATCACTTGTCCTGCATCGCCACTGTGTCTACATCACTTTGAAAAAAACAAAGCTTCAATAAGCAGCGAGCATGTTTTAAAAAGATACATAGAATATGAGAGACCGCATGGTAAATTAGTACTTGTGGAAGGAGGAACCGTGCATCCAGGGGTAAAACAAGGTGAATAACTGAAACAGAGTTTCAGGAATAATGTTGATAGCACTGTTTAGCTTAAGCTTGGATAGACGAAGAAGTGAAGATCATTTATGTCCCTTTTAAGTCTTGGAAATTGAAAAAATATTACAGAGAAAGACTGTTCCCTTAATCCCGTAATGGGCAGATGTGCCCGGCAGGAGCTCTCTGTACTGTACTGGGTCCTGGCCAGCTCTTACTTGTCTCTGAATCTTGTCTGACAGGGCCACGTGAACCCAAATGTTCAATTATGCAATAGTGGGATGGGGAGCTGACTAAGGCAAGGGGTGATTGCCAAATGCTACAGATATCTTGAAGCCCCTGTTCCAGACATGAACACAATCCCCTGCACTGAAGCCATTGGTAGACATTAAAAAGCACAGTCTCTTTCGGGACTCATGTGGTACCACTTCTGAAATTTGACTATTTCTCTAAGCATGTAGGATTACTAGAGTTAATGCCGACTTAGCACCCAATTAAACTGCATCGTTTCAATAATCCATTTGCTATTTACTATTGTACAACTTCTTTCCGATTAAACTGTATTCATTTGTTGTGCCCTTTCAAGAAATGTTGCAGGAAGATGAAAGTTCATTGACTTGATAAGGAAACCTCACAGTGAAACAGCAATTCAGGTCACTGCTGGTCACACATTAACACCAGTCCCATCAGGTTCAAAAATGTCTGTCTGCCCTCTTGTGAAGGATAAAATGAACAAATGTCCGGTCAATGTGCCGAGGCACACGTCAAAGTCGATTTACACTGCAGGTTTCCATTAGTGCATGCTTGCAGTGAGGCAAAACTGATTTGCCTGGAAACTGTTTGCTGTTTGCATGACGTTAAAATGATGTGACTGCAGTTCGTCTGATATAATTTAACCATTTAAACTTCTTTGAGATGGTGCTGTTGATACACTTTATTTATGAAGACCTCTTTTATTATCCAAACCTAATTCACTGTTTCCTTCTCTTTATTGCTACCTAAGAAATAAAGATTTTAGACATAGGTAAGTAATACTAATGTTAGGATCTCGGTTTTTTATGCTGTCTGTTTCTGCTTATATGGCTTAACATCTTTTAAACTTACTCCATGCGCAGACTGTAATTTTGCTTGCCTACCAAAAACAACAGGGATTCTGAGATTGTAAGTCAAGGGTTTTCATAACCCTATTGCGGTGGCCCAATCCTGGACATCTGCACTGAATCGAATTTGCCTTTCAGACCTTCAGGTGTATTATATTTCAAATTCAGTGACCAAGGAGTGTGCAAATAGTGTTTTCAAATCCTTTGGGGTCGATCTGTCAAGGAGCGAGGACCATGGGAAAATTTTAAAACCATATTGTGTTTTAGATAAATTTGATAACAAGGCACAAAAAAGTCACTTCTTTCCAACGCCATTCCAAACAGCAACAAAGTAGAATTTTTACTATTAGGATTTGTGGAAATCCTTACCTTACTTGCAGGAGTTTTAGCTACTCTTTTGTTCATGGCTTTCTTCAATCAGGAATTGTTACTTCTAAATTTGTTATCTTATGAATGAATTTTGCAAGTTCCACTCAGAAGTGGCCACATTTCAATTATGCCTCTTTATTTTGTGCTATTCATTTGCATTGCTCCATGTCTCGTTTGTCTTTTTTCCATTCTCTTGTATTTTATGAGTCCTGTCAGCCTCTCTCTTTCTCCCCTGTGCTTCCCTGCAATCCTTCAGATCAGATTTGACCTCATCTTTCTGGCCTGTCTCTCTCTGTTCATCCCTGGGGGACCGCAGTTCCATACTTTTTGCTTTCTCTTTCCCTTCAAAGTTTTTCACTGTCTTTTGAAATGCGTTTCACCCCAAATCTCTCAACAGAGCGGAATCAACAACAACAACAATAATCACCTGCATTTGTATAGCTCCCTTCATGCGGGGCAGATCTCAGAGCGCTTAATCAGTTACACAATGACTATTTAGGATTTAATTTAATCCAATCCTGGCTGTCCATTGTAACGTTTAAACTAAATGTACAACCCAGGCTAAATTTGAATTATCTGCCCTGTTGAATCATTTCAACAATTTAAAAGAACAAACATACAATCTGAAAAAAACACTCACGATCCTGGCAATTGGAGCTGGTCACAAACATAAACCTTGTATACCATACACACAGTGAAACCCTCAGCAGTTTAGTTTGGAGATTCTTAAGCATTATGATGGGTTTCCGCGTGTCAAGACACCAAAAAGATCCTTCCTCCCCCCCATCTCTGCTACATTATTGCAGAAAAAGTGTCAGATCTAACAGTAGAAAATTCCACCATGGTCTAAATATACTCCTTCAATGTAACATTTCAGAACATCTAGAGTTTCCCAAATTCTTGAATACAGTCTTTTAGTTTGAAGCTGTTTTTCTGCAAGTTTCTTTTAAGTACTACAGAAAACGGACTTCAAAGTTAAAAGTGAATTCAACAGAACACTGCACCTCTAAAATGCTGCAGAAATAGATTAAATCTGGAGCCAGGTGGAATTTTACCTCACCGGTGAGATAGTGTCCATCAGGCCCACAGTTGTTTGTTTTTACCCACTCATAATACATCTGGTTTGTGTTTCGCCCGTTGAGAGTAGTGGCCGACTGCAGATGATGGTTTTTTTAATCTACGTTTTACAGTGCAGGAGGCTGCTTTTCTGGTTTTGACGAAAGGAAAGCCTGACTGTCATGTATTTTAAAAGAAGGCAGCTCGCTTTTCCTTTTGCCTCTTAAGCGCTGACAATAGCATAACAGCAGTAGTCAAAAATAGACAGGCTGATGTTTAGCTGAGCCCCTTGGATCAGTAAATGACTACTGGATTTTGCATAAAGCACTTTATTTTAACTCAGATGGTCAGGAATTAATGCACCTTTAATGATTTGAGCATTTTTTAAAAAATTCTGCTCTCTCTGTAATTCGTTTTTTATTAACAGTGTGAATAAAAGAAAACGACCCCATGCCAACATAGCACCAATCATTGCCCTCCATTAATGGCCTTGCTAGCCTGTCTCAGTGGGCCCTCTTCTGCTTTCAGTTGCCGTGTTAATGGATTCAGTATCATTCATAAGGTGTTAATTGAGTTTGATGCGATTACTGGCTTAATGCTTGAGCACATTTTGGTTTTATTGTATGACAATTAAATCAGCCTACAAAATTGCTTGTTGCTCCAAACCTCATTTGGAGTGTGTTTCTCCCAAATGGTTGCCATACTCTTAACATTAATTGGGTCCTACCCAGACATGTATTCTGCTAATGTCACACAAAGGCACACACGGGTTTGCCTAGTAAACACAAAGCAATTGCACATTACAGTAAATCCTGTGAAGCGCTTTGAGACATCCTACCATTGTGAAAGGAGCTATACAAAGGATTATTATTATTATTATTATAGTGTGCTAAAAATCTAATTATGTTGTTACACAGGCAAACAAAAAGAGTGTTTCAAAATGCAGAGTTTCAAAGTCCTCAAAGTGTTGTGTCCATTTAAGTCGTCGTTGTGTCCATTTAAGTCGTCGTCGTCCCCAGTCCATCAGTTCGTCCCACACAAACATAACACAGCAGGCTCAGCAGTAATGAAAAACAAAAACTGGGTCGTATTTTGGGTATGATCATTGATAAGAACTGAATCCCATCCAAAAGCTTTAACCTGTCTTTATCTTTCTGATGTTGATTGACCTGCTCTAGATTTCCAATATCTCTACTGGTAGTTCAGATCTCCAGCTTCTGTACATCATAGAATAGTTACAGCATAGAAACAGGCCATTCAGCCCATCATGTCCCTGGTGTTTTTCTCTATATGAGACACTTAGTCTAACAAAATTCTCATTCTCATACCATTTAAAGTCCTTCTATCAGCAAAATACATAGAATCATAGAGAATCATAGAATCATACAGCACAGAAAGAGACCATTCGGTCCATCGTGTCTGCACCAGTTCCGAAAAGAGCAATCCAACTCAATCCCACTGGCTCGCTTTCTCTCCATAGCCCTGCAATCCTGTTCTCCTCAAATACCCATCTACTTCTCTCTTAAAAGTTGTTATTGAATCGGCTTCCACTACCCTTTCAGGTAATGCATTCCAGATCCAAACAACTCACTGGGTGAAAACATTTTTCCTAACCTCCCCTTTGTTTCTTTTAACAATTATCTTAAATCGGTGTCCTCGGGTTACTGACCCACATGGAAACAGTGTTTCTCGGTTCAACCTATCAAATCCTCTCATGATTTTGAAAACCTCTATTAAATCCCCTCTTAATCTTCTCTGCTCCAAGGAGAATCATTCTAGTTTCCCTAACCTCTCCTCACAACTAAGATCCTTTATTCCGGTTACCATCCTGGTAAACCTCCTTTGTACCCTCTCCAATGCCCTAACATCTTTCCTAAAGTGCAGTGCCCAGAACTGAACGCAGTACTCCAACTGAGGCCTAACCGGCATTTTATAAATATTCAATATAACCTCTGACTTTTGAATTCTATGCCCCTATTTATAAAACTTAGTATCCCATATGCTTTTTTAACAGCTTTTCCTACCTGTCCTGCCACCTTCAGAGATTTGCTTATGTGGACCCCTAGGTCTCTGTTCATTCCCCTTTAAGATTGTACCATCAGCTTATACTGCCTCTCATTCTTCCTACCAAAATGGAACACACGCATTTCTCCACATTAAATCTAATCTGCCACATTTCTGTCCATTTTACCAATCTGTCTGAATCCTCTTGGAGTCTGGTGCTATCCTCCTCACCATTAACTACTTTTCCTAGCTTAGTATCGTCTGCAAATTTGGAAATTGTGCTCCCTATATCCAGGCCCAGATCATTAATATAGATCAGAAAGAGCAGTGGTCCCAATACCGACCCCTGAGGGTCACCAATACACACCTCACTCCAGTCAGAAAAGCAACCGTTTACTACCACTCTCTGCTTTCTGTCTCCCAGCCAGTTCTGGATCCATGTTGCCACAGTCCCTTTAATACCGTGGGCTTCTATTTTGTTTATAAGTCTCTTATGTGGCACTTTGTCAAATGCCTTTTGAAAATCTAGATAAACTATGTCTACTGCACTACCTTCATCCAACCTCAGTCACTTCATCAAAACATTCTATTAGGTTTGTCAGACATGATCTGCCTTTAACAAATCCATGTTGACTGTCCTTTATTAAACCATATTTTTCAAAGTGAGAATTTATATTGTCCCATATTATAGTCTACAGACGATTCCCGACTACTGATTGTTACAAATTGTTAGCTGCCACTGTTTTGAATTTGTGTAGGATAAGGAATTGAAAATATTCCTGAATGTTTATGTGTAACTTATCCTGCATCAATTCAGGCCTGGTGAGAGAGAGAGACACAGATGCTTGTTGACCTCTTTCTAACGTTCCCCCTGATGCTGGCTTTCTCTGCTACTTGGAGATGTATTGTTATCAGTAAGTGGGAGGACCCTTGTTCCACTTTCTCTTCCACATCAACTCGTTCAATTTTGAGCTCGGGCTCTTCACTCTCATAGAGGACCTTATAAAGGTGTATTAAAATTCTAAGTGGGGTTGAAAAAGTCAATCCAGAACACTAACTTCAGGATGCACCAATATAGTAGAACAAGAGGACACGGTTTAGAGTTGAAAAAGGGTAATTTCAGGACAGACATCAATTTTTTTTTAAACCCAGAGGGTAATTAACAACAGGTTGCCAGGTGATTGAGGTCCATAACACAGGATTTATTTTCTAAAAAGCTTGATGCTGTGATGGTGGACTGTTGAGTAGGTATTCTGGAAGGAGTAGATCAGATGGGGTCAAGGACCTTCTTTATCCAATCTTATGATTTTGTGAACTTGGTCTTTCTACAGACTCAGATACAAATGGTGGTGGGAAATGAGCACCCAACTTTCAGCTTGCCAGTCCTTTGCCAAAAAACTTAATTTGCTTACTCCCAGAATTTTCCAGAAACAAAAAATTTAAATAAAATGAAGACACATTCACATCTTGGTAGGTGGCTGATGTGTTGCTACATAGTCAGAGGGTCAGCCAGTGCCAATGATTTGTTGCAGCCATTAAGCCACACATTTCACTTGGATGTCAGCATGAGATATTAAAGTGATTTGAAAGATAAATGATTGGAATGAACATGATTCAATAAATTTGAATCTATCATCAATGCACACTCACATTTAATTACCATTGAGTCATTTCTCATTACATCCTATTTGTCACCAAAATTGTTTCCTGACAACGTCTTTGAGAATCTTTCTATTTTTCTGTGACTTTATGTGTAGGTAAACAAAAAGGGGAAAGTCTCTTTGCCCAGCTACGCACTAAATAATAGACAATTTCTTTATTCTCAATGTTTCACCTTCAGTTAAATGCAATATTGAATATCTTGAATATTAATGTTGAAATAAACATGTTGAAATTATGTACAAATTCGGATTTTGAAAAATAGTATAACAGTGCAAAATAGAAAATTGATTGCATATTCTGGAACTATATGCTCTGGAATATCTCTGCCTCGATTCCTTTGCCTTGCCCCCTCCTTGTTTGTCTTCAAATCACACCTGAAGACCTTCCTCTTTGACCATGCATAATGTCATCTCTTGTCTCCTTGGCTCAGATTCAAGCTCCATCAATGTTAAACGCTCTGAGACACTACCCCACATGAAGGGCGCTAAATAAATGCAAGTTGTTGCAAGTTGTTCTTCTACAATATTCATATCTCGGATTGCAGAGCGAAATTGATTCAGTTACACAGTGACTGTTCTGCTGTTACTCCAACTCCCTCACAAGCTATGGCTAATTTTCACAGCTCCAACCTGTCTTTGTGCATACTGCTAGAAGTGATTTGAAGTCGAAGGATATGATGGAGGAAACAGTAGTTATATTTCCTGCTCCAAAATCTCCCTTGTCGTGATCTTCATGGTATTCTGTGCATGCACAATGAAGTGACTAGACAGAGCTCTGTCAGTCAGCACTGATCTAATGTTATTAGACCCAGGGGTGTAGCCTGTTCTTCAAAGAACATTGCAAAATTTAAAGGGGCTATTGATGCTGGATGCACTGCATTGATAGTGTTTGTACATTTATAGTGTTGCAAGAAGTGCACGGAAATGAGCCTTTTAATAGCCAACCAGCCATTGGAACGAACAGGCTTTCTGCTCACATTTACAGTGAATGCGAATGTGCTGACTGGCGATCGCGCCCTAATGTAGTGCTGTTTGGCATTTTACAAAACCCAATTATCGTGTTATAAAGAGAGATCTACTATACTTCATTGTGTAATTTGTAAAATTGCCCTTCACCATTAAATCGGTGTCCTCTTCCTCTAATGCATTGGTATATCTGAAAGTACTGTCCTGGGTTTTCTTTCTCTATCCCATTTACAATGTTATGTATCTCTGTAAGGTCCCCTCTGAGACACCTCCTTCCATGACTGAAGCCCTACCTTACCTTAATCAGTTAAGATGTGTGCTACTGTTCCTGTGTTAGGATTCTGAGATTGTGCTGCTGTTTCTGTGTTACCTCTGTTATATAAGGGTATCTGAATGTAACAGTTATTGAATATATTTAGAACAATCTTTCTGACACTTACATTGAGTACAAGAGCTCAACTTTTAGATTTTTTTAAAATCAAGTGAAAGTCCACTATTATACTGATGATAGTTTATTTTTTAAAATGAGCGAATAGAAACATCCTTCATTGAAACCCGTGCAGGAAAATCAAAATACATTGCCTGAGTGCAGTGGGAAAATGCAGGACTATTTTGTGTCACTCCTTTGAGATGGGACTCGCTCATTTGGTTGAAAGTTTAACCTTTTTGATGTAACTCACTACTAACAGTTGAAGAAGTCATGCTCTTAGAATGTTTTCCTGATGTGTCTCACTCTTTTAATGCTGATGGAACTTTCTGGTAACATGTTGCCGGTGTTGATTATTACATTACATCTGGCCACAAATAGGAAGGGGAGCTGAAAAGGTTTTATCTGTCTGCTTCAGATATGCGACCCTGCTCCATAGCAGTAATGTTCTGATAGTGCTGCATTCAGCTCTTTATTGCTACATGCCAGAGTTCTGCTCAGCATTTTACCAAAATTTAATAGATGAGACCAAATAGTGATGGGGGGAGCTGCATTGTGGGAGATAGTGTCCTTTGGAAGAGATGTTACACACAGGTCTCTTCTGCCTGTTTGAGTTATTATTATTATATTGTTTTCATAAACAATTAGCCAGTCAGCTTCAATTTATCTTCATTATCTTCATTCTCTCCTCTTTTCCCCCCTCACCCCCCATAAAAAATATTATATTCACAGCAATAACCCAGCTCACAGATATTTCCTGGCAACTGATCCAGTCACTGGAGACTTGTACATCTCGGACACCAACACTCGGCGCATCTATCACCCAAAGTCGCTGACTGGTGCTAAAGATCTGACGGCAAATGTGGAAGTGATAGCGGGGACTGGAGAACAATGTTTGCCCTTCGATGAAGCTCGATGTGGTGATGGTGGCAAAGCTGTCGAAGCCTCTCTGATGAGTCCGAAAGGTACATTTCCCTCCCCTTTCTCTAAAACGATCCCATTCACTCACAGTCGTAAAGTTCTGGATTCTTAACGTTGTCGAGAATTCTTTGCTTGTTCTGGTGCCTGGAGCAAACTGAAAATAGGATTGCATGCAACCTGCTCTCAACCAGTTTGTTACTGTTTAGAAAAACTTTTACGAAAAGGTTGGCTCCACCAATGAATGACCCAATAGATAAAGTCATTGTCTGGTCCACCACTTAATCATAAAGATCAGAAGGTCACAAGTTTGATCCCTTGTGTAGAGTCTGCTGCTCTCAGCCAAGGTAGCAGTTAAGACATTACAACTGACCTCAGCTCCTCTGAGCTGGGAGAAGTCAAACCGTTTATTGTTCCTACTCCTGATTGCTGCCCAGCAACCGCTGTTGGGAAGTGTGTTTCTGACTGGTGATAGAATCAGGCTCTGCTGTGATGCCCTGATCCTCAAAGTCAAATAGCCTGGAATTTATAAGAAGAATGGCCATCTTGGTACTGAGCAGAGTGAGGTGCAGAAGGTGGGTAGCAGAGAAATGTGCGTGCCTCTGTGTTCACAGTGAATCGATCATAAATAGTCAAGCAAGTTGGTGTGTTCTAATGAGGCCCATACTGTGTTGAAAGTTTCATATGTTTGCGGAACATGAAAGAGTTAGAGGCCACAGTGCGGTAACTGAGAAACAAAGTTAGCACAATAAATGAGATGATTATAATGAGAGTGCTGCTGCATGTATTTTCATTTGGAGACCTTCAGTGCTGCAAGTAAGTTTTATAATGAGGATAGGATTTGTTTCCATGAATTGCTCACTCATAGATGGTCTGTGCCATTCTTGCAGGTTCATTGTGTAGAGTGTGCACTGAATAGAGCATTATAGAGAGTTCTGAGTGGGGGGGAATCCAGAGCATTTGAGAGCTCTATGCTTTGCAATGTGTCTGCAACTTCAATAACTTTTACAGGGATAATTGGAGGGAGAAGAGGGAGCAATTGCTGAAAGCCAGGCAACCTGGGTGGATCTCTGCACAGAGACTGAAATTCCTCATGCTTTAGGCTCAACATTAATTGTCTTAAAAAGTTAAGATTGTGTGTAAATTTGGAAAACAGCCTTGAATTCAATTTTTATTTGGAAACCACTTTTTTCGAGACTTGAAAAACAAGACTTGCAAATGAAGTCTATATTTCCACAATCCCACAGATCTTATATTTTAAAGCAGCAGTTTTAAGACTAAGAACACAATGATTTTCCACTGGTTCCCAAGGAGGAAGAGAGACGACAGAGATTTCACTTTTTGTCACACTCCAAGGCCTCTTAGTAAATGGTGGAAGCTGAAGAGATGCCTGTCACTGACATCTTGTTCTCCCAGACTGTCGTTCTGGGAGACTGAAAGAGAGAAATTATAGGGGGAAACCGTCAGTTTGGATTAAAAATAGTAATTCACCTTTAAAGTGAGCATGTTCAATCTTGTAGTTTTGCTCTCCATCCTTAAGTTACAATGACTTTGATCTATGATGTAGGTTAGAAGTCATAGGCAAAGTTCAGTCATTCTAATAAACTCAGTAACAATAACTAGTATGTATCAAAACTGTGCTGACATATTGATTTCAGCTTGCCATAGCATGAAAGCTCGATGGTACAAATCATTTGAATTTAAGCCAAAGTAAGTCAACCCTTCATAGTCAGTACATTTACTATATCTTGGAATTTGGTTATGCTTTGAAGCTGAACCCAAACTCGGATGTGTTTTACATGGCATGGGGGGAGAGGGGAAAGGGGAAGGAGAGGTTACACAAGGAGATCATTTGCAGGTTAGAACTGAGATCACAGATTTTTGTTTTAAAGATTCTCTTTCGTTGCCTCCCCATTTTGAAGATTCTGTAGCTCAACACCAAGATAGTGGACACAGACGAGAGTCTCCACAGGCTGTCAGGGAGCCAGTGTTTGAGCCTGGCCCAGTTTCTGGCACTCTCACCACTGAGTCAGAAAGGTCAGGTTCAAACTCTGCTTTGCTACTTGGAACTCAGCCAACACTACAATCATTATTATTGCTGTTGTTGTTGTTATAACTGTTATTATTATTAACATTATGATCAACGCTGTTTTACATTGTCTGTACCTTCCTTCGCTTGAGATGTCCTTTCTGCCTGTTCAGATGGACAACTAAAGATCTCACAGCACTATTCAAAAATAGAAGGGAGTTTTTCCCCGTGCCTTCACCAACAATCTCCCCAGATATAATTGATCATTGAATTAATAGCTGTTTGTGAGTCATTACTGTGTTTAAATTGGCTGTTCTTAAATTCACAGTAAAATCCCTGTGTAGAGTTTTGAGATGCCTCAACGACATGATAAGGTGCAACATCCGATGTAAGGGTTCTTAATATCAGTGCCCATCCCCACTCCTAATCGAGGAGATGCACGCAGTTAGGGTGGGGTCAACCCTGCCAATTTTTCCTCTTCTTTTACCACAATAAAATGAGTTCCACTACCGGGAAGTAGCTCCACAGAGCGGACTGGGTTACGTTCAAGCCATACGCAAAGCCAGTGTTTTATTACCGTGATCTCTCGTCTCGATACCAGGAATTGCCATCGACAAGAATGGTTTGATGTACTTTGTGGATGGAACCATGATCCGAAAGGTGGACCAGAACGGAATAATATCCACCCTACTGGGCTCCAATGACCTGACGTCAGCTCGGCCCTTGACTTGTGACACCACCATGCATATAAGCCAGGTATTTGCTACCGTTCTCGCCTTCAGTGAAGTTTTAAATAACAATGAAATTTAAGTCAGCTTTTTTGAGGCAGTAAAAAGTAAAAATTTGGGAGATGGGGTACTTTAGTATTTGATCAATTCAAGACAATTGTTCTAGTGAGCTATTTCCTGCACAGATTATGGTAACTATTGAAGTTATCTTACAGACATATCCCAATTTTCATATTGTGTAAGTAAATAATGTTTTATTCAACATAAATCTACCACTGCCTTCTTTAGGGAAATGGAAGCTTAGCTTGTAATATTCAAATAACTTTCAAGACAGGACTAATGTGGACTTGGATTAAGGTCTGGAAAGCTGTGAGTGGTGAGGAGAAAAGAAATCTAACTGGACAACTGTGTCCTCATGGATGAAATTGAATAATCAAGAAAAAGCTCAAATTCTTTACACACTGTAATGAATTGGTGAAGTGATTTCTTAAAAGTATGGTTAGAGCGCCATCTGATGGTGAACAAACGTAATTTCTGGCATACAAACCAATAGGATTTTCAGAGCATACAGTAATAAAGAAGCATAGAATAATGAAAAACACTTGGCCTTGAAGCACCTTCTCTCCACTAATCATTTCAAAACCTACCCTTATAATAGACCACCCCACTCACTTTATCTCCTGGAGGAAAGCTGTGTAGCCCAGTTTCTGAGCCAGGCAGATCCGCTTCTCCAAGGCATTGCTGATGTCAGACCAGCCAGCCGAGCTCATTGTCAGGATTTCGAAGTACAGTCTGGGAGCAGGGATTCTTCCCTCTTGACTCTTCATCACATCAAGGCTCGCTTATGGCAATTCCCTCCTCATCGGCCTTCCCAACTCTTCTCTTCACAAGCTGCAGATCATCCAAAACTCTGCAGCTCGTGTACTCTCGCGCACCAGGCTCCGTGACCCCATCACTTCCACCCTCGGCCGACTCCACTGTCTCCCCATCCCCCAGAGGATCGAATTCAAGATCCTCGTCCTCACTTTCAAGGCTAACCATGGCCTTGCCCCCTCCTACCTCTCTGACCTGCTGACTTCCTACCAACCTGCCTGCTCCCTCCGTTCAGCGGGCTCCAGCCTGCTCCATGTCTCCCGCCCGACCCGTCCTACCATCGGTGGCCGGGCTTTCAGCCACACTCTGGAACTCCATCCCACGGTCCCTTCACCTCCCTTGCCTCCTTTAAGGCCGGTCTCAAGACCCTCCCCTTCGATCGTGCCTTCAGTCGCCCTCCCACCTCTCTGGTTTCCCTCACCCCTTCCCCACCCCTCCTCCATGCTCAGGTCCTGACCCCTGACTGTCCAGCGCCTTGGGATGTCCTCCCGACGTGAAAGGCGCTCTATAAATGTAATTTTGTTGTTGTTGTTGTCAATGTTACTAGGCAAAACCCTAATGAATAGGGTGAACAAAGCTGAACAAGCAGCAGGAAGCCTGCCAGACAGTGATCTCATTTGTGAGCTGTGCAGTTTTAGCCAGTTCCAACACACACTAGAATTCCAAAGTCTGATTCCACATGATTTTTATCCCCCTTTGAACCTGGACCCTCTAATCATGCTCCCACAATTTATAAGTCAAATAGTTTGCCTACATCTGTCACAACCAACTGGATCTGAAATGTTTGTACATCTGCCACATCATAATTTTTTGTAACATTGCTTCCCGATGTATACAAAACAGAATCTGTTTGTGCTTTAGCAAACTGCCTATTATTATTTTTAAAAATGGGCAATTTGGTCATTCAATCCACCACTGTTTGTGGGACACTGCTGTGCGTAATTGGCAGCCGAGTTTTGCCCACCAAAATAAATACGTCAATTCACTTTACAATGAATTGTGTGAAGTGCTTTGAGATGTCTTACTGATGTGATAAGGCACTATATCAAATGCAATAATTATTATTATTATTGCTAAAATAACTAAAGATATTCTCTGGATTCCTCATTTTACTCTGTATAATCTGTTTTGTATTGGCGTCCTATTTTTTCTAATGCTCCTATTAGTTACCTTCAATAAATCTTTACGTTGAAAATTAATGCCTTTTCTGGGAGAGTGATTCAGCAGTTCATAAACTGTGGGAGTGCTTTTTTACTGTTTAAAATACATTTAATATCTTATAGAGATGTCAATTAGTTTATTGAAAAAGCCTTTACATCAGTTGTCTAAAAAAAGCAGTGTGATTGTCAATGTCTGTTTGCAGATATGAAGATATAACCAGTGTTTTTAATGTGATTGGAGTAGCTCCTTATGACCATGTGAAGTTCAGTATTAAAATAAACCTTTCCAATTTCAGGTTCGCTTGGAATGGCCCACAGACCTGACCATTAATCCAATGGACAACTCCCTCTATATACTAGACAACAACATAGTGCTTCAGATTACAGAGAATCACCAAGTCCGTATTGCTGCGGGCCGGCCCATGCACTGTCAGGTTCCAGGTGTGGAATATTCACTCGGAAAACGAGCTGTTCACACGGCGCTCGAGTCTGCCAGTGCTATCTCAGTGTCCTACAGCGGGGTCCTCTACATTGCGGAGACGGATGAAAAGAAGATCAACCGTGTGAGGCAGGTAACTACAGATGGGGAGATCTCGTTGCTTGCAGGCATGCCTTCAGACTGTGACTGCAAGAATGATGTCAGCTGTGACTGTTACCAGTCTGGCGATGGCTACGCCAAAGAAGCCAAGCTCAACTCACCGTCCTCCCTGGCAGTTTCTCCAGATGACACATTGTATATTGCAGACATGGGCAACATTCGTATCCGGGCAGCCTCCAAGAATAAGCCAGTGCTGAACTCATTGAATTATTACAAGATAGCCTCCCCTTCAGAGCAGGAATTGTACATCTTTGATATCAATGGCACTCACCAGTATACTCAGAGCCTCATCACAAGTGACTACCTCTACAACTTCAGCTATAGCAACGAGAACGACATCACAGCAGTGACGGACAACAACGGGAATATCCTGCGAATCCGAAGGGATCCCAACCGGATGCCCGTGAGAATAGTATCCCCTGATAACCAGGTGATATGGCTAACCATCGGCACCAATGGAGGACTGAAAAGCATGACAGCCCAGGGTCAAGAGCTGGTTTTATTCACTTACCACAGCTATAGTGGGCTCATGGCAACAAAAAGTGACAAGACCGGTTGGACAACTTTTTTCGAGTAAGATTTTCTTTATGCTCTTGTTAAGATTTTCTTTGTACTCTGATTATTTTGGTATTTAATTTCAGATGAGTACAATTTAAAAATTATCACCATCACTGAAGTAAACATTTTCGATCAAATGTGCTACAACTGGGATTTTGATGTTACATTTTGGTGTCAGATATTTTCCATTTACTCTTACGTTTTCCCTTTCAATGCCATCTAAAAACACATCTCACTTTTGTATCCAGTGAAGCGTCAAGGGCTTCTAAAGGGTTTATGAGTAATTGCAGTTTTACCCCCACTATGGGCTGCGGTAGCTGATCTCAGCTGGGAAGAAAGGGAACTTTAAACCAAATGTAACCAGCTTTGTTAAGCCTTTCTGATGTGAAGGGCGAAATGTAAATGTAAATTGAATTGCATAACCAAAAATGTTTCCTAAATCAGTCACCTTATCAATAGGATGGGCAATCACCGAGCACTGTAAGAGACTGTTTTCTCTGCTTTTGTTCTCTCTCTCTCTCGCTTTCACCCCTCCCCGTTTCCCCAGATGTCCTAGTTGAGGGCACAAGCAGATGGAGGAGAAATGCAATATACTTTGTTCGTGGCTGACATTCAACTCACATTCATGTTCAGTGACCTCTTTGTTGTTTTAATTGTGCGTCATCATTTCTCTCGATCACCGAAGAACGGCGATCTGGAACATTGTGATGAGGACATGAGAGTGCTCGGCATTTCTATTTTTACAAGTTCAAAGCATACGAATGGCTTTGTTGATTGTGTTGTTGCTCAATAACAGGATTGAAGGAAGTCAGGATAAGGCCAGCTGAGATATGAACAAATAGTTCACCAGACACATTGATTTCTATGCTCCTGAGCAGGGTGACGGGATGTGTTTTTTGTAAGGAAAGGGACACATTTTGAAAAGTGGAGGCAGTATAATATTCATTGTCTTTCCATTGAGCCCCACTTGTCTGCTCCAGTGGTTCAGATGGGCATTAAGGATCCCTGAGGCACAATTTTAATGAGTTTCCCTGGTGTACTGGCATCCTATTGATAAGGTGACTGAATTTAGGAAAGTTTTGGTTATACAATTCAATTTAGTTTACATTCATATTTTGCAATTAATATAGCATCATCACTCTCCAACATCTCAAAGCATTTCACACAATAATGAGTTACTTTGAACTGGTACTGACTGTTATGTAGCTTTTCTGACGTGAAGGGCGAAATATGAGTTGTTCATCCCATTGCCATTTATGCAATGTTACTGGTGCAGATTAGCTGCTACGTAAGAGTACGGTTAGTAACTCATTATTGTGTGAAGTGCTTTGAGATGTTGGGGAGTGATGACACTGTATTAATTGCAAAATTTATTCTTTATTCTGAAATGCTTTGCTTGATCATCTTTGGACTTGTGTTGGATGTGTACAATTCCTTCCCTCAAGAGATTGAATAGATAGAGTGAAGCTCATGATAGGATAGATGTTGCATGTTTGAGTGGTTGAAGGTATGGACCTGATCAAGCAAGTGGTCATTTCTCAATCCTTGGTTTATGTTTTCATGGATCGCAAATGCTGGTGCATATATACTGATCATCGACAAAAAGATTCACATTGAAAAAGCAGTGATGTCTTGTTTCTCAGATATTATACAATGAAATGTGACAGTTTTGATTCTTGTTTTCATATCTTTTATGAAAGGAGTTGTTGCTTCCGAGCTTCACTTCTTCCTCTCTCGCCACTCCCTTCACGAACCCCTCCAATCAAGTTTCCATGTCACCCACACCACAGAAACAGCCCTGGTCAAAGTGACAAATTAAATTTTGTCCATCTGCGACCAGGACTCCCTCTGCCTTCTCGTCTTCCTTGACCTCCCTGCTGCCTTTGATACTGTTGATCACTCTATCCTCCTCCACCACCTCCTCTCAACCTTCATGGTTCTGTTCTTGAATGGTTCAGATCCTATCTCTCTCATGCCGTCTTCACCTCATCTCACAAACAGCTTCTCCTCTAGCCCCAGCACCTGTTCATGCGGCATTCCTCAGGGCTCTGTCCTTGGTTCCCTCCTCTTCATTATCTATATGCTCCCTCTTGGTGACATTATCTATAGACATGGGTTCAACTTCCATATGTAAGTAAATGACATCAAACTCTATCTCTCTGCCTCCACCCTTGACTCCAGGACCACTGCTATCCTGGCAGAATGTCCAGCACCTTGGGACGTCCTCCCGACGTGAAAGGCACTATACAAATGTAATTTTGTTGTTGTTGTTGTTTATAGATTCAAAACTCATCACTATCTGTTTCTGTTCAATGTGTCTTGTCTAGGTAGCTTGCATTCTGAATGTTGCACTAACTTTTTACCAGTAAACTTTTCACAGTTTTACACAGCTTTACTCCATCTCATCATACACAACCTTTCCAAACATTATCCCCATCCTCCTCCTCTTCCTCCTCCTCCTCTGCCCATCCTCATACCAACCAGCCCTTCAGAAGCTTCAGCAAGTGCCTGTTGGGAGGAGCACTGTCAGGTTGTAGATGACCTGTTGGTAGCAGCAGCCTCTGGTTGTATATGGTTGTCTTGGAATGTGCAGTTCAAGGTTGGACCATGCAGACTCAAGTGTAGGTGATGTATTGGTATATGCAGTCTCAAATGTAGTCTCAGAACTCCAAGACACTATACTGCATGAAGGGCTCTATATAAATGCAACTTGTCATTTTAAGTGATCTATAAGAATGTGCTTTGCAGGTTGTATAAGGTACAAGTATGTTGGATTATGCAGTCTCAGGTGTAGACGAGCTATTGGAACATGCAGTGTCAGGTTGTACCAGGTATGTTGCAAAGTGCAGTGTATGTTGGAGGAAGCAGCAATAGCCAATAGATTAATCATATGCATAAAAGGATCTACTGAATAGTTGTATGAGGGAACTAAATAATTTAAACAACAACCCTCTGGGTTATAAGCTCGGTCAGCCGATGTTAGTAGGTTTGCATTTCAGAGACTGGGTTTTAACTGTAGTGCTTTATGCCACTGTGACCAGTTGGGCTCAGTAACTGTTCTAAAACTGCAAGCGAGATTTTATCTTACTAGAGTTGATCTCAAGTGGCTTCCACCCGTTAAAATTTAATAGGAATTTGCTGTTTGAGATCCAGGATCACATTTTGCTCTTAAATTTAGTTTTAATGAATGGTGTAGATAAGAAATAATGTTAATTCTTCACTTTAGGCACTTGCATTAAGTGTCCTGGTTTTAAAGAACTACTTTTGATAATTGTTTTATTCAGCTACGACAGCGAGGGCCGACTGACGAATGTTACATTTCCTACTGGTGTGGTCTCAAGTCTCCATGGTGAGATGGAGAAGGCAATCACTGTGAATATTGAAACATCCAGCCGGGACGAAGATGTCACCATCACTACCAATCTCTCTTCAGTGGATGCCTTCTACACCATTGTTCAAGGTATATATTCTATTTACTGCTGACACCACAAATATTTTACGCCAATGACTTCAAATATAAAAGGGGGGACAGAGGCAGGATTTATTTTTGTGTGGCAAATATTTTGTGCTATCCTCAATACCACGGTGTGATTACAGTTTATGGAATAGTAAACACAGAAAATACATGTTATCACAAAACTGTTCAAATTCATATGGACACTCGTCAGAAACATTATGTAGGGACATACAATAAGGGAAGTGTGCAGAAGTAACAGAAGGTTAATTGATTGAAAGGGATATTAAGAATAAAGACGAAGGCTTAACAAGCACATAGTGAGAAGGGACCGGAGCAGGCCATCCATTGGCAGAGTACATGCCCTCCACGAGCTCCCGCCCCACTCCCTCTGTAATCTCCTAACCCCATATAGGCCTGTCCTTTCTCTCCGCTCGGCACACACTGGCCTGCTCCAAGTCCCCCGCACTTCCCACCCCATCATTGGCGGTGGGGCATTCAGCATCTCTGCCCCCACACTCTTGAACTCTATCCTGCAATCCCTCCACCTCACCCCCTCTCTTGCCTCCTTCAAGTCCTGTCTAAAGACTTTCCTCTTCGATTGTGCCTTTGGCCACCTTCCCAACCCCATCCTCCCTGCTCTCCACCCCTCCTGACCCCAACTCCCATCTCGGATCCAAAACCCCTGATTGTCCAGCCCCCTGGGATGTCTTTCTGACGTGAAGGGCATTATACAAGTATAATTTGTTGTTGTTGTATTTGGAAGCAGGTAGAAAAAAGATTGAGCGAGAAATGAAAAAGAGAGAACAGCTGATGAAAATAAACTCTTGATTTTGTTATAATGTGTTACAATAGCAATGGGTTTTAGGGAGCAAATGAAAACTGCAATGGACCAAAAGACAGTTGAAAATGGGGGTAAACAGGAGAAGGTAAACCTATTATAGGAGGTGCTAATTTAAAGAAATCTCAGGATTTTAGCTGACAAGTAACTCACTATGTCCAAACAGTATAAGGCAGCAATAAACAGACTGAATAGGATATGTGCTATGTTCTATATCAGCTGAATTCAGATTGCCATAAGTCATTCTCAAGCTGTGCAGTCTTCTGATCAGGCTGGATCTACAGCTTTGAAACCGATTTGGTCCCTGCTACATAAGAGGCCTCCCATACCTCGATAGGCAGTACAGAGGAGAGTATCAAGCCTAATGCCCAGTGTTATAGACTCCTATGAGGAGTGATTGGAAAAGATACTGCTCTTCAGACTCAAAAACTGTCAGTTATCTCAGAGAAACAGAACATAGAAACAGGGTTAAGCCATTCAGCCCTTCGAGCTTGTTCCACCATTCTATAAGATCATGGTGTGATCTTTACCTCAATTCCAATTACCCACCCTTGCCCCGTATCCCTTAATATCCTGACCTGACAAATAGCTATCCACCTCACTCTTGAAGATGTGAATGGATCCAGGATCCACAGCCTTTTGGGGGAGAGAGTTCCAGATTTCCATTACTCTTTGGGTGAAAAAACTACCTCCTAATTTCACTCTAGCAGAGGATACCCGATAGATCCTTATCGATACAGTCTGCAAAGCACAATACAATACTTACAGAAACTCCAACGCAGCAAGACAGGGGGCATATATTCAGAATTCCAAAGGGTATAAAATACATAAGGTTTGCATCAAAACATTTAGCATTTGGTTGCTATGTAGCCAGTACCTTAATACTATTGGTATGGTAATGTGCTTTGAAGTTACAGATTGCAATCTGAGGCAAATGGAATTATTGAAGCCAGAAATGTACTTTCTCTAAGGCTTTATTTGTTTTTTTTTAAATTAGGGATTTTTTTAATGTCATTTTTTTTAAATGTCATTTTGAACTTTTTTTCACATATTTGTCTGAAAATTCTCGTCTAGTTATTATGGCTCATGAGTCACCCAGAGGGTGAAGGCCGTTGAGATTTCTGTCAGACTAGCAGAAATGAAATAACCTGCGTAATTTGAAGTTATTGTAGTGGAGTTGCAGTGGAATTGGACCTGGAATCATAGATTTGTTGTACTTGGTTTAAGTCTGGGTTCCACTATTATCAGATCCATTATGTACATTTCGCCCACAAAATATACAGTCAATTCACTTTACAGTATATTCTGGGAAGCGTTTCTCAAATGGCGTGCTAAGGTGCTATATCAAATGCAATGATTATTATTTTTACATGAATATCTGAGACACCAAAATATTCTGCTAAATATTTTATTGATTTTAAATAAGTGACTATGAAAATAACGGCACGTGACTGGCTAATGCAGAATTGTATTAAATCTGCAGGACTAACATTTTGCGAATACGGATACTTATCCTTATGTAAACATTATTAATATTCACTTTGTGCTTTAGATCAGCTGAAAAACAGTTACCAGGTTGGTTATGACAGCTCCCTTGGGGTTATGTATGCCAACGGTATGGACACCAGCTTCCAGACGGAGCCCCACATTCTGGCCGGCACAGTGAACCCAATCATCGCCAGACGCAACATCTCTCTTCCTGTGGAAAACAGTCTGAACCTGGTGGAGTGGCGTTTCAGAAAGGAACAAATCAGAGGGAAAATCAGTGTCTTTGGACGCAAATTGAGGGTAAACAGTCTGGAGTTAATTAATTAATCATTGGTCTTTACAGGAGTTCCCAGAAACCGTTTTGGTGCCAGTAATGACTATAAATCCATTGAACCATTTAAACATCCATTGAACAATTTAAACATTACATGTCAAATAATAGGCAAAGAGCACTTCTGTTGACTCTGACTGCTGTGGAGATGACAAAATTAGTCAGGATAAAGGCGAGCTTGGAGAGCCAGCAGTCAGCTGTTAAAACAATTAAAATGTGAGGATGTCAACACAGATCATAGAAATTGGGACCTTTTTGTAATTCTTCCAGTTTCCACTTGTCACTTGGGGGCATCCAAATATATCAAGTTTTTGAAATTATAATCACTCAAACCATGACTGCAGTGCTCAATTGACTGCCGCGTTTCGCCTACAAAATATAATCAATCCACTTTACAAAATATTTTGCGAAGCGATTTGAGACAGCTCAACGTTGTGATAAGGTGCTGCATCAAATGAAAGGATTATTATTTTTATTATTAATTTACATGATTGCGTGTTTCAACTAGATAATGTACCTCATCCTGACCACTGTGATGTTCACAGACTCTCGGAGTTTACAGATTTTGTTATTTATGAGCGAGCCGCCCTAGAATTTAGGAGGTTACACAGTGATTTGATAACTGGCGGTGATATTACAGAATATGCCAAGCGTGATTAACACAGGCTACAAAAGAGATCACTTCAGATCTCACTGTGCCCAACCAATCAGAGCAACAAGCAGAATTATAATTGTTCTGTAACGATTCCCAGTGAAACGTATTTTGGAATTATTATGAGATATGTTTACCTTAAATATGATCAAAATAAATAAAACAAGTTTGTGATTGTATTTTTCAGATTTATGTTTCGCTTGTACTTAAATCCTGCACAAGCAGGTGAAATTTACCAAATATTTGTTAGTTTCGGTAACAAATCATTGCCTTTTCTATGAAAGTACAGGCAGCATTTAAATCAATGCTATGTTCTTTGAAGAAGAGGAATAAAAAATGTTTAGGGCGAGAGTGAGTGGGATTTTTCACATAAGTACACAGTCACTGCACTTCGCAGTAGTATCCTTAAAACGTCTTGATGATGCTATATCATAAGCAAGGATTATTATTATATTGGTTCATGTGGTGAAAAACATCTCTGCAGACTTAAGTGTCCACAACATACATAGTCAATCCGCTTTACAGTATATCCTGTGAATCACTTTGAGATGTCTTGACGATGTGCTAAGGTGTTGTTCTAAATGCAAGGATTATTATTATTATTGATGGGCCAAAAGGCCTTTCTGCATTCTACATACTAAGTGTTTATGGACGGGGGTCTTAGCCTCTACCTTTGTTATTAAGTGAAAGCCAAAACTGCTGTTTGTCAATGATTACAAAATGCACACATCATGCAATGTGTGGTTTATTGTAACTTAAAAAAAAGCAAAATTGCATTCTTTTCTCCACGTTATTTATGCGTGAATTACAGTCAGTAATGGATCAGGCATTTGAACACCCTGGTTTTCTCTGTCTGAAAACATCATGCTTCTCATATATATTAATGAATCTCAGGCATGTTGGTGCCCTGGGAAGGTTTGAAAGTGGATAATCTCAGATGTTTTGCTAATAATTGCCAAGTAAGCTTCCAGCACTTTAATGCAGAATGGTTTGAACTGAAGCCAAGCTGTCCTTCAATGTAATGAAAGCCCGTTAAACTCGTGTGCTCAGTTACATCAAAAAGTCTGTCAAGTAATTTGCACTGAGGAAGAATCAATCACTCTGAACGCTCTGTTTAGAAAATAACAAGTTGTCTAAAAAGCAATAAGTGAGTGGGCGCTGAAATGCCTGTAATTGATTCATCCTGCTTGTTTTTAATGTTCCAAAGGTGAATGGCAGGAACCTCCTTTCTATTGACTTTGATCGAACGACCCGGACAGAGAAGATCTATGATGATCACCGTAAATTTCAGTTGCGGATTCTCTACGATCAATCAGGCCATCCTACTCTCTGGCTGCCGAGCAGTCGCCTCACTGCCGTCAACATCACTTATTCCTCCACTGGACAGATCTCGGGCATTCAGCGGGGCCCACTTGGTGAGAAAATTGAGTACGACTCGCAAGGGAGAATTGTGTCCCGTGTGCTGGCTGACGGTAAAACGTGGAGCTACACGTACCTGGACAAGGTGAGGAATGAGACAACAACAACAACTTGCATTTATAGAACGCCCCTCACGCGGGGTAGAGTCCCAAAGTGCTTGTCAGTGGCGGAGCACAACGCTGGGGAGGGGGGAGGTGATCGTAGCCACGGTTGAAGAGGAAGGTCTTCAGGCACGACCAGAGGATGAGGAAGAAGGGGGCAAGGCGCAGGGATAGAGGAAGAGTCTTCCAGAGTTTTGGTGCGTAGTGGCTGAAAGTGCGGCCACCGATAGTAGAATGGGGGGCACGAAGGACATGCAGGAGGCCAGAGTCAGTTGAACGGAGGCAACAGGTAGTGGGTTGCGGAGTAAGCAGGTAGGGAGGTGCCAGGGCATGAACGGATTTGAAGACAAGTGTGAGGTTCTTGAAATTGATCCGTTCGGTGATAGGGAGCCAGCAGAGCCTAGCTGGAACTGATGTGGTGGGGGTACAGAGTTAGTGTGGATGTGTAAGCGGACGCGGAGTTTGGAATTAACTGGAGTCCTGTAGCTCAGTGGTTGAGCACTCGCTTTGCAAGCTAGAGACCTGAGTTCAATTCCAGGCAGGGCGAAACCTTGGGCAAGTTTCCTTACTCCACACGCCTAATAATAATCCCTCCAAAACCAAAAAAAAACAATAATAAAATTGGTCATTTTCAATCTACGACTGTTTGTGGGACATTGCTGTGCGCAATTGGCTGCCGCGTTCGCCCACAAATATACAGTCAATTCACTTTACAGTGTGTTCTGTGAAGCGCTTTGGGACGTCCTCCCGACGTGAAAAGCGCTATATCAAATGCAAGGATTATTATTATTATTATTATTATTAACTGGATTTTGGCGTACAAAGCACCTCAACTCAGTGTTGATCTCCGAACGTATTTGACACATAAACTGAGCCTCGCTTGCTTAAATGGAGTTGTGTTTTATGAGGTTGAAACTAATAATCTTCAGATATATGTGTCCAAATAAATTATGCCGAGCATTGCTAAGGATTTGTAGGTCAAGGATAACTTAATTAAACAAAGACATCATCATTCAGGATGAAATTTTAATTTATTTTATCATAAAATTAGCATTTTATTTCCTAAGCGTGCAATTATCTTCTCGTCTTCTTTACAGTCCATGGTGCTGCTTCTTCACAGCCAACGCCAGTACATTTTTGAGTATGATTTATTAGATCGTTTGTCTGCTGTCACCATGCCCAGCGTTGCCCGTCATACCATGCAGACTATTCGCTCCATTGGTTACTATCGCAATATTTACAACCCTCCTGAAAGCAATGCCTCTGTGATTGTGGACTACAATGAGGAAGGGCTGCTCCTCCACACAGCATACCTGGGTACAGGCCGTCGCATCCTGTACAAGTATAAGCGGATGTCCAAACTTTCCGAGTTGCTGTACGACAGCACTCGTGTCAGCTTTACCTACGATGAGACCGCCGGGGTCCTGAAAACCGTTAACCTCCAGAGCGAGGGCTTCATCTGCACCATCCGATACCGGCAAATCGGCCCCCTGATTGACAGGCAGATCTTCCGTTTCAGCGAAGACGGGATGGTGAACGCCCGCTTTGATTACAGCTATGACAACAACTTCAGAGTGACTAGCATGCAAGCCGTGATCAACGAGACCCCATTGCCGATTGACCTGTACCAGTTCGATGACATCTCGGGCAAGTTTGAGCAGTTTGGGAAGTTCGGGGTCATCTACTACGATATCAACCAGATCATTTCCACCGCAGTAATGACGTACACCAAGCACTTTGACACTCACGGACGAATCAAGGAGATTCAGTATGAAATATTCAGGTCACTCATGTACTGGATAACCATTCAGTATGACAACATGGGTCGTGTGACACGGCGGGAGATGAAGATTGGGCCCTTTGCTAACACCACCAAATACGGTTACGAATATGATGTTGATGGACAGCTTCAGACAGTCTACTTGAATGATAAAATAATGTGGCGCTACAACTATGACCTGAATGGCAACTTACATTTGCTGAACCCAGGCAGCAGTGCACGTCTGACCCCACTGCGATACGACCTGAGAGACCGCATCACTCGCTTAGGTGACGTCCAGTACAGACTTGATGAAGACGGATTCCTGCATCAAAGAGGGGGCGATCTTTTTGAATACAATTCCAAGGGCCTTTTGACTAGAGTTTACAGCAAGGCTGGTGGCTGGAACATACAGTATCGCTACGACGGCCTCGGGCGACGAGTCTCCAGCAAAATCAGCACTGGCCAACACCTTCAGTTTTTCTATGCTGACTTGAACTACCCGAACCGAATAACTCATGTCTACAACCATTCCAGCTCTGAGATAACATCCCTCTACTATGACCTTCAGGGGCACCTGTTTGCCATGGAAATCAGCAGTGGGGAAGAGTTCTACATTGCTACTGATAACACTGGGACACCATTAGCAGTATTCAGCAGCAATGGGCTGATGATTAAGCAAATTCAATATACTGCCTACGGAGAAATCTACTTAGACTCCAACCCTGACTTCCACCTGGTAATAGGATTCCATGGTGGCCTCTATGACTCTTTGACTAAACTGATACACTTTGGCGAGAGAGACTACGATATTCTGACAGGACGCTGGACGACGCCTGACATTAGCATTTGGAAAAACATCGGGCGAGATCCTGCACCATTTAATCTGTACATGTTCAGAAAAAACAACCCCGTCAGCAAAGTTCAGAACGTGATGGATTATGTCACAGGTAAGAAAGAACAGCCGAGCCAAATAATAATCATTGAAACAAACACAATTAAATACCTGTGTGCAAAGTACCAGTGGTGTGATATGATAAAAGTTACTTCTTTCTTGTGGACAGAAGCGTGTTAATTACAAATGGCGGGAGATGATAGATGTCTTCATTGGGGTCCTGCTGGGATCTACTAATTGATGGGATAAATTGGGCCAATAGAAAAGTGTGGAACTGTTTGCCAAAAATTGCGTGCAAAATTTTGACACATTTTGCAGAAAATGGTGGGGGGTTGATTGGCGCTATTGAGATACCTTTTACTGCCAACCTACCTTTTTTGATAAAAACTAAACATGAGGAAATAACACATTTTAGATTGTTGCAAAAAACTTAATTGCTTCTTTAACAAAAACACCAGCGAGGCGACAGGAGCTCTAGGGCTCAGGACCGCACACAGACCCAGAGAGAGAGACACATACACAGAGAGACACACACATACACACTCAAAGACACCAAGAGAGACCCACACACTCACAGACACAGAGAGACACACACCCAGACACAGAAAGATACACATACTCAGAAACACAGAGACAGACACAGAGACACACATTCTCAGAGAGAGACGCACACACACATAGAAACACTCACAAACACAGAGAGACACACACAGGCACAGCCACAAACACATGGAGGAGAGGGTGACACAGACATACTCACACAGACATTCACAAAGAGAGAGAGAGAGACGCACACACAGACACACACTCACAAATGCATATAGCGAGACATACACACAGATAATCATACAGACTCACACAGAGAGACACACAGACAATCACAACAGCGGGGCCTCCGAGTGAAGCCCATTTGCCGCTTGCACATCACCGCACACGCATGTCTGGAGCCACCCTGCCCACACTGACATCAGATAAACAGTCGGGAGGCCCGTGGGCCAGAAACTATGATTATAGTGGGTTTGTAGCCGGGTGTTGGGGAGTTTGTGGCAGGTTCCTTGGAAAAAGTGCGGCCGCACGTTTCTATTGGCCCACGCGATAAGTCTTTTTTGTTACCACCAAAGCATTGGTGGTTCGCCTAAGCAGCTGTTTATCCCTCTCTAAGGGTCTCTCTAGAAAGCTTGTTACTCTGGTTAAACATAGACACGCACACACACTTACTGTCTTAGTGAAAGGTAGAGCAGATTTCTCTTTGGATCAACATATTTCTGAAATTGTTTTAGGGAACCCAGATCACAATTCTGTGATGTTTTCAATTTCCTAAAGTAGTTCTGGTAAATTTGATTCCTGTGTCACTAAAACTATTAGACTTTACATTTGGAAGTGGATTAAAGGTCATTATTGTCAGATTAGACTCTCAGTTCCTATTAATATTCATAAGATGAACCACTGCATTGAAAATGAAATATTACATGTTACCTGGTATAACGAGTTATGCATTCATATAAATACATAAATAAATGCAGTCAGAATATTTACAGCATGATGGTGGTTGTGACAAGTTAAGACAGGGTTGAATTACCAGGAGTTTACTGTATTCCTCGTCTAAAAAATACTCAAAATCTCAGCCTTGATGCTTGGCCTTCATTGATTGGACATTGGTCCTTCGGATGAAACATTAAACTGAGATCCCGTCTGTCTGTTCAGGGTCACATTAAATATCCCTTATCACAGTTTGAAAAGAGAAGAGAATTTCTCCCTGTGAGTTGCCCACCAATCTCCCAGATAAAATAGGTCATTCACTTCATGGCTATTTGTGGGGCACTGCTGTGCGCAAATTGGCTGCTGAGTTCACTTACCAAATATGCAGCCATTACCCTTCACAGTAAGTCCTATGAAGCTCTTTGAGGTGTTCTCCTGACCTGACATATCAAATGTGCAGTTTGTTTTATTATTTATTATTAGTTTGTACAACAGGGTTCTAGAAAGATTTTGTAAATGCTCTATAAAAGAAGTAAAGAACAACTATTGGAAGAAACAAGATAAATCTTCTCATGACCACTCGTGCTGTAAAGCTTTGAATTGCATGATGGCAAGAGGTTGTTCATTCCTTTACTCCAGTTTTCTCCACCTTTTTTCTTACGAAAGTCAGAGACTGGTGGTGCTCGACTACAGTTCCACAAGTGCTGGTCCATTGCCATGTGTATCTAACCCTGTTTAGCATGTGTGAGACTGGACACCGAATCTTAGCAGATTGTTCAAATGTTTTGGTGTCACAGCTGATTCAGGTTATTTCTTCACATGACCTCCACAAAATGCAGTTTCCAGTCACTGGTAGCAAATGGGAGCAAGCACATTGACTGATTTTAATCACATCACCTCCTCCCACCCCTCTCTTTGACCCAGTGGCCAATTGTGGCAGCCCATTTCTGGCTGCCTCACCACTTCATGCTGCCTTTAACCTCTGAGTCAAAAGGGAGGTGAAGAGCTTTGTAAAAACACCCTCACATTAGAGTGTGGCATTAGACAAGGTTTATGGTCGCATAAACTGTCAGGAAAGGAATGTTTCACTAAGCAATAAAAGCAGGTTGCTTTATTACATTACAACAATACCCTTGTGTATTTTGCAAAGAAATTCTTTTACCAGAGCTGCCAGAAGAAATAAATCAGTCATTTTATTTTAATGGTTATCCTATTTAATGTGTATCATCAAATGTATCTGTTGAGCCTTTACAGCTTTTAGCAACCGAACCTGAAATGGAATAAATCTTTAAACTTATCAAGTTTTTATTATTTCTATATAATCTGTTCAGCCTTTAAAGCTTCCTCTTGAGTCAAGAGGGTGTGGGCTTAAGTCCCCGACAGATTTTTTTAAAAACAACTTTTGTTAATATAATGTTCTATCCATTATTCACTTTAAAGTGCAGTGATTGTGTATTTTGTAGGAGATATAATTTCCATGTGAGTCGAGTTGGTCTTACTCCCTCTTGAGATGTTTCAGTTTCTCTGTACTAAAAATCTCTGGATACTGTGGCAGGATTGCTAGCTTCAGTATAGAGACACTCCAATAACATTGTTGACCCTCCCTGGATAAGTGGTTGCATAGGAAACCTATAGTCTGCAATTATGTCCCAATACCCAGATTCACTTGAAAGAAATGGATAACAATAGAGATAGATAGCAACAACAAAGGATGCTCAGAGGGATGGACCACATTGGGAGGAAGGTGATGCGTTGGAACAAAAACTTCCAAAAATATACGTGTATAAATTACTATTTTGCAGTGCTTTGAACACATTAAACACCCTCAATGTTACAAAAAAAATAATAATATACCAACCTTTGCCTCCCGATGACAATTTAAATTAGCTGAAAACTGAATACAAAGTTAAAATTGGGGGAGCCAACATATTTGAAGATTTGTCAGCACTATTACATCTTTTGTTTACTGAGCGCTTACCTACCATTTGTAAACCTGCAAGGATTTGGAATCCTGCAGCTCAGTGATTAGACCACTCGCCTTGCAACGTGACACTTGGGTTCAATTCCAGGCAGGGCGAAACCTTGAGAAAGTTTCCTTACTCCACATGCCTAATAATAATCCCTCCAAAAAAAAATTGGTTATTTTCAATCCACGACTGTTTGTGAGACACTGCTGTGCGCAATTGGCTGCTGCGTTTCGCCCACAAATATACAGTCAATTCACTTTACAGCATATTCTGTGAAGCATCTAGAAGACGTTAAAAGTGCTATATCAAATGCAAGGAATATTATTATTTGCAATTTTGAAATGACAATTAAAATGCTCAAGGTACTAGATTTGAGAGAGGCATTTGACGCTGCAGAAGGGCGTCATAAGAGCAATTCATGTTGAGAGCAATTCATGTTGAGAGCAAGTCGTGATTTGTTTTCGCTCTGAATTTGATTCCATGACCTTTACTGGTAGCTTTGTTACATTAAACTGTGTGTGGCATGTCGCTGTGGTGCGGAAGGATTTGTGATTCTCAACTCCAGTCAGAGGAGAATCAAATGCAGATAATTCCCAGGCTGCTTTAGCAGACCAGTATCAAAGAACAAATGGAAAAAGTTTGGGATGAACGTCCTTGCTCTCTCAAGCAAGTTTTGCCTTGATATTGGGCAGTGCAGCCGAGTAATGAGGGACAAACAAAATGTTATTTTTAAAAGATAAGAGGAGCTGCTGTCCTTCAGTGAGAAAGGATTTATTTCCAAGTCATACATTTTGAACAGGAAAATGCTCAGTCACCCATCAAATGAACTGAACATTAGGATTTAGTGAATCACATGTATTTCACAGAAAGAACGTAACATTGTGGCACGCATCACATTTTCAGCAGTGTATTCTCCAAGTCACCCGATTGCCTTCTTTCTACAGATGTTAACACCTGGCTCCTGACGTTTGGCTTCCAGCTTCACAACGTTATTCCTGGTTTCCCCATCCCTAGGCAGGGCGTGTCAGAACCTTCATATGAGCTTGTAAAGAGTCAGGAGTGGGACGACGTGACGGTAAGACCTCATAAGAAAATAATCAGCCCTTCTATTCTATTTCTTTTTTCAGTCACCCGCATGTCCCGACACATGTGGAAGCCCATCGCCATGCTTCGGAGTATCCAAACCCAGAGTTCTACATACGCATTCCACCTACGCACGGAAATTTCCCTGGTTCTGTAATGCAATGGGCTTACTCTCTGGAGGGACGTACATATTTTATGTTAGGTCACGGTATCAAGGGATAGGGGGCAAGGGCAGGTATTTGGAGTTGAGGTGCAGATCAGCCATGATCTACCAGAATGGTGGAACTGGTTTGAGGGGCTGAATGGCCTACTCCTGTTCCTGTGTTCCTGCTTACCCAGTTCTGAAGAGTGTCAGGTGCAGACTGGGTAGAGCCAAGGCTTGGCTTGGAGTGTGCATTGAGAGTACCACTGCAGTGCAAACAGCTGAAAGCTGCATACATAAGCAACATAGCATCTTAGTTCTTTAATGTAAATTGTAAACTTCGGGTTGTTTTCTGAACAACACAACTTGCACTTATAGAGTGCTCTTCATGCAGGGCAGTGCCTTGGAGTGCTTAAAACTCAACTCGTTAGGAAAACCCAAACTAGATTTTGCCCCCAACCTGATTTCAAACCAACACGAAAGAGTTATGAAATTTATCAACTAAGACAGTGTTAGCAATGAGATTTTCCCATTTTACAATGACACTGCCAAGTGCAGTTTAGAATCAAGCAGCGACGAATAAGATCTCTTCGCACACCAGTCAGCAAATTTATGACAAGTGGAGAATTAGCCCTGAAGTGTCAATACTCATTACTGAGGGTTTACTATCAAGGAGAATAAGGTGTTAGATAACCTGCTAATAAATGAAATTAATTATATCAAGTGTTGTGTGTCTTTCGATTTACAAGTTGGGTTGGCCTCCCCAGAGAACCGAAACCCAAACATTGACATAAATTCTCAAAGGTTGAACAATACGTAGCGGTGCAAATTCTGGGTCACTTTGCAAAGTAATTGCATGTAAAAATAATAAATTGGCAATAATAAAGTCATTAAGTTAATTTTTTTTACCTATAATAATGTTTCTTTCATTCTATGCTCATAGTCTGAATAAAATGCAAGTTGTACTTTGCTTTAAATATTCGTCCTGTTTAGGGGAAAGCTTATTTCTTTGTGTGGCACAAATGTATTTTTCCATGGCCTCTATTTAAATTCAATCCAGACTGCGAACATCATAGGATGAATCTCTGTGGGACGATAAATTTACAGGGTTTGACCATGTGATCCTAGGATGGTGAAAATCTCTTGTAGGCCTTTACTTTCTGTCAAAATAAACAGCATCAAAACTATTGTGGAAAATGTATCCATAGGATAAACACACTGTTTAAGGTATGTAACTACAGTCATACGCATATAGTATATAACTGCAGTCTCAGATTGTTTGCGATCAGAGACTGTTGTTTTGACTAGTGCTGGAAATATTCTTTCTTGCACTAGTGAAACTTGTGAGTGAGTGGCAGGTTTTCCTCAGTAAAGATTTACATAGTAGAGGAGGAAGGCTATGCAGAAGTACATCTCAATTTCCCTTTGTTTAAAATAAACAACAAAGCATTCAATTTCAGAAATGGTGCTCTGCATCCCGATATGAATTCTGGCTTTTTTTTTACTCCTCGCTGCTCTTTCTCAATTAAAACGTGCAGCTTTCTAAATTGTTTCCATCTTATGCATCAGATATTGTGTGACTGGCATTCTGAGGAAAAGTAGGACATACACTCTAATGTACCTGGCCATTTTCTGTCAATGTGTTAACCCTTTCAAGCGGCGCAAGTTAAGTTTACAATGAGGAGTGCAGATCGCCAATAGCTCATTTAAAAAGCAGCTTGACAAAGTGATGAACGGATGGGAGGGTGGGTGTTCTGGAGGTTGAAATTAAAAAGCAAAAGCCCACATATGAATAAATTTGTCCCAAGTCTGGTCTTTTAACCTATCATAAATAAATGCCTCTGCAATTCATATTCAACTGAGAAAAGCCCAGTTACTGGAAAGTTGCTCCATTTTCCAAAACAATTTTTGGTCAATTTTGCAGTAAATCTGATACCTGACACTTGACCACCATCGATACTGTATCAGTATTGTGGGGAGTGAGCTGTAATCAATCAAAACCAGTCGGCCCAAACAGACAGGAATTTTCTTCGACTTACCAGCAATCTTACGGGTTTGAATCACTGAATGGTATTAAAACATCTGCTGTGATATATATTTTAAATCACATTAATAACCAGATAATGGGAGTAGTGAGTAAAAATTTGCACACTTTAGCAAAGTATGATTTGGATACATGACAATCTGCGTGGTGTTGCACTAATTCTATCTTAAATTTGGAAGTGTATCTCAGTGTCCTGTTTTCTCAAGCATCACAGTTACAAAGCCTGTTTAATATTCTGCGTCAATAAATATACTGGGAATTTTTCTTCACTCACATATATATATTTTGTTTCTGTCTTATCTTTAGCCTCTGTCTGGTGTACAGCAAACAGTAGCAAGACAAGCAAAGGCCTTCATAAGCGTGGGAAATATGCCAGACATTAAAATTGGCAAACATAAAGCCAGCAAAGAGAAACCATGGCTTTGGTTTGCGACGGTCAACTCTCTCATCGGCAAAGGGGTGATGCTTGCTATCACCCAAGGAAAAGTGATAACTAACGTGCTTAATATTGCTAATGAGGACTGCATCAAAGTCGCTGCGCTGCTAAATGGTGCATATTATCTGGAAAACTTGCATTATAACATTGAAGGAAAAGACACTCACTACTTCGTCAAAACTGCTTCACCTGAAAACGATCTTGGAACGCTGAGGCTGACCAGTGGACGCAAGTCTTTGGAAAATGGCATTAATGTTACTGTCTCGCAGTCAACCACTGTGGTGAATGGCAGGACTCGAAGGTTTGCCGATATAGAAATGCAGTACAGCGCCTTGTCCATCCACGTCCGCTATGGAATGACCCTGGATGAAGAGAAAGCCCGAATACTGGAACAGGCCAGGCAACGAGCTCTGGGATGTGCTTGGGCCAGAGAACAACAGAGAGTGAGGGATGGTGAGGACGGTGTCAGGTTATGGACAGAAGGAGAGAAACGCCAGCTCCTCAGTGCTGCAAAAGTGCAAGGATACGATGGGTACTATGTACTCTCTGTGGAGCAATACCCAGAGTTGGCAGACAGTGTGAGCAATATTCAGTTCCTAAGACAGAACGAAATAGGAAAGAGGTAACACACAGGCTAGTTGGTACCTGCCAAAGAGACAAACTCAACACTTCTCTTTCTAGGGGAGCAGAATTTTACTTTTGCTGCCAATAGCTACCACAGGGTAAACTTTGAAACCTGAAATGTCACTGTAGCCTGAAGCTCAGATCTATCTGTAGCACAATTTCTCTCCTAAAACTGTTGGACTTGATGGAATTCTTTTTCTACTCATTTGGAGCCCATAAAAGGGGAAGAAAGATGGTTACTGCAAACAAAAAAGCTCTACAAATTTCCCTTTATATACAGGGTTGTCGACTGCTTTACATAAATCGTTTACAGTGGATGCCACTAGGTTCAGACCAGAGCTTGGACTGAAATGTGTGTAAAATAAACTAAAAAAAATACTGCTTAATTGTTTTGTACTTGGCCAAATCTGTTGACTGTTTTCTGTTGTTTAAGAAACACTGTATTAAGCATTAGAATCAAAGTGTCCAGATACAAAAACTGTGTATTTACATGAGTGACCTTTGCTTACCAAAAGTAGTCTTAATCTTTCCTCGCAGTAAGTGATATTACTAGTTGGACCCGTGGCAAGAAAAATAATCCCCAGATTCTACTGTGGACCAATGTCCGCTCTTTTCACCGTGCTGCTTTATATAAGGACACTTTGTGCTAAGTAGCTCGACCATGATAATGACACAAAATTTCATCATCAATTTTACAATGTTTTGCCTTGGGAAACAACGCGATGTACAGAATCGCTGATGCAGCAAAGCAAAGGAAAACTTTTTTTTGTAAGATGTGTGAGACCAGTTCTTTATGGAGTTTTTATATGAATTCCAGTTTACTGTTCACCAGATACTAGTCTCAAAGATGTTAATTTATGTAAAGTGTTTCAAAGAAGTTTATACTTGAAAATAAAACCTTTAAAATACAAATGCTGTGTTAAACCCGAATCCTTTCTTTATCAAGCTGACTCGGTTGGGGAATATTTCCTGTTAAACCTCCTGTCAGTCTTTTCATTGCTGAACATGTAAAACTCATTCGCATCATCTAACCTTATGACACAAAATGTTTTCTGTTGTGAAAACAACTCAGATCAAATGGTAGAACTTAGCCCTCTATGTCGGAAGGTTGTAGGTTCAATCCTCACATCAGAATTTTGAACTCCTATAGTCCAGACTGGCAACCCAATGTAGTGTTGGGGAGTGTTTTGTTTGTCCACAAAATCCACAGTCAATACACTTTGCACTATATCCTGTGAATTACTTTGAGCCATCCTCCTGACTTGAAAGGTGCTGTATCAGGAAGGATTGTTATTACTATTATCATAACAACTGCTGTACTTGTCCAATCTGCTAGACACACACTCTCTGCGATCACTGCTAGTGTCCTTGTGGCCATGGTTGGTGGGTGGTTGGGTTTGGGTGGGGGAGGAAGGGAGGTGAGTGAGGGAGGGAGAGGGGTGAGGGAGGGAGGTGAGAGAATGGAGTGAATGAGGTGAGAGAATGCAGTGAATGAGATGCATGAGTGTGCAACGGAGACTGAATTTCCATTTGTCGTCTGCTCCTTGTCTCTGAGCATCAGTTAATACTCCAGAGTGGTTGGGCTGGACATTAGGACCCCAACTTTTGCTGTACCTCTCTGTCCTTACATCAGTTTGGTTAAAGACAGAAGCTAAACGCTTCCTGTTTGGACAACAGTGCACATTGTGCTTGTTAAATGGACCTGTGTTTTAATTTCAAAGCAGCTTTGCTGGCAAAATGTATTTCCTCCCCTTCGAATCCTTCACAACTGGTGCAAATACAAGGTGTGAAACCCCTGGGGGCCCTGCTGACATCTGCTGAAACAGTCTTCATGAAAGGAAACAACAGATCAGTACAGATAATAATTATCCATTTCTATCAATTCCTGAGGGCATCCTCTTATTCTAATCTTCACTTTATGCAATGCACTTCCAGCAACTACAGATGGCCCAGTTCAATTGGCTGGTAAACTTTTACTGGCTAAGATGCTGCTGCCTCTAAATGTCATACTCTGCTCACTGCTGTTGTTTTGTTCCAGCTGAATCCACAGTACTGGCACCACACATCTGTGTTTGAAGGATGATGCTGGATTTTACGTTTCACTTCCAACTTTCCCCAATTTATGCTGGCAGGCGTGAAATAAGCAAGCGGTTTTGAAAAGCTGCAAGTTCAGGTTCTGCTCATTTGCAAATACAGAGCAAACATAACTATTACAATTTACATTTATAGTGCGTATTTCACATCGGGAGGATGTCTCAATCCATTTCACACTGCTGGATGGGTACCCATCCAAGCTGGGGATGGTAGTCGAAGGGGGTACTAAGTGGAAAGATAACTGAAAGTGCAATCAAGAGGTAGTTTTTGAGATGTGCCTTGAATTTGCCCACAGAATATACAGTCAATTCACTTACAGTATATTCTGTGATGCGCTTTGAGCCGTCTCGAAGATGTGATAAAGTGCTATATCAAATGCAAGGATTATTATTAATTAAGTTGTGGTTTGCATATAACAATAATAATCCTTGCATTTGATAAAGTGCTTTTCACATCTTCTAGACGTCTCAAAGCACTTCACAGAATATACTGTGAAGTGAATTGACTGTATATTTGTGGGCGAAATGCGGCAGCTAATTGTGCACAGCAGTGTCCCACTAACAGTTGTGGATTGAGTGACCAAATTGTTATTTTTTTTCTTGAGGGATTATTATCAGGCATGTAGAGTAAGGAAACTGCCCCACGGCTTCACCCTGCCGGGAATTGAACCCAGGTCTCCCGTTTGCAAGGCTAGTGCTCTAACCACTGAGTTACAGGACTCCACATGAGGATGCTGAGGTCACTCTCATTCAAGCCCCAACTAGCCAGTCAATAATTAACTTATTACTTATTAACTAACTTATTGGGTTAGTAGCTGCAATTGCATCATCTACAACATCAAGTTGTATGTCTAGATTTAAAATGCAATCTAAAAAGTCTTTTAATCTGGAAGTTATCATTAGTTTCAAATAAATGTCTCTTTCTTACATCCTTCTGAAAACTCAATAAGGAGCAGGAAATACATCCTGGTCCATACCAAGATATCTGTTCTCAACCAGAACAGTGGTAAAGCACTCTATAAATGGAATCTTGTTGTTGTTGTAAAGAATGGCCTTGGCATCTTCAACCCAAAGAAGAGAACAACTTCATCTGAAGTTCTCTGGATTGATGTCCAGTGATCTTTGACGGAAATTATATAGAAACATAGGAAATTTAACTGGAGGATGTGACCATTTGGCCGTTAATGCTATGGCACTGTTAACTTGTTTTTAAATTGTACATTTCATTAATCCCACAATTCCCACTGTTTCTCCATATCCCTCAATGTTTTTGACCTCTCAAGTGCTTATCCAGTTCCCAATCCATTTGATCCAGCTTCAGTAGCCACTTCTGACAATGCCTTCCACACCCTAAAAATTGTCTGGATGTTGTGTAAGGATAGGATCAGGTTTTCCTGTGATGCTCCTAAGCTTCAATAGCCTCACCGACGAGCTTCATGCATGAGGGTTGGCTAACGGAACAAGATGTCAAGAGTCTGCCTGGTGTCTCTGGGTTCGCAGCACAGTATTATCCGGAATCTTCGCAAGAGGAGGAAACATTTATTTATTTTGATATCTATTTCAGTTCAAAATAAATGTTACAATATTTTCTTTGACTGAGAGGGCGTGTTGACTGAGCCCATGGGTACTGACACACAGATATCTATCTTACTATAAACAGCAACACAGTAACAAAAGCAAACCATCATTCCCTCCAGCTCAATCATCCAATTTCCCACAGCATTCCTTCAATTTATCTCTCTAAATCTAATAAATCTAGCAGACCTAAAGTTTAGGAGGAATTTTTTCACGCAGAATGTTGCAAATATGGTTGCAGCAAAAAGCATCATTGAGAGAAGACTTGATTCATACATGAGGGAGAAGGGAATAGAGGTGTACGGGAGAGAGGAATAGCAGGGATTGGGCTTTTGTGGAGTACAAATACCAACAAGGACTAGTTGGGCTCAATGACCTGTTTCCATGCAATATTATTCTATGTAATAACACTAATCCTTCAGTTAACAGGCACATATCCAGTCCCTTTTCAAAAATCCTTTGCTTGTCCCACCACTTAGCTGTGCCAATATCCTATTTCACCCTTTTCCTAAAATAAATTCTCCGGCAATTCCATTGCTATGTGCAAATTGGCTGCTGTGTTCGCCTACAAAATAGTCACTACACTTCACAGCAAAATCTTTTGAACCACTTTGAGATGGCTTCTCAATGACATGAAATGCAAGGATTATTATCTTATTTGTAATTTGCAGGAGTAACTTATTAGTGGAGCCAGTGAAACTTCATTAAAAAAAGTTCAATTATATATATAAAAATAATCCTTGCATTTGATATAGCGTCCTTATCAGGTCGTTTAGATGTCTTAAAGTGCTTCAGAGAATACTGTATATTGTAAAGTGAATTGACTGTGTATTTTGTTGGGTGTATTTTGGGGGTATTGGCAAGAGAGAAATAAAAAAACTCAACCAAAGAGTCACCTCCTTCAAACAAGCCACACAAATTTAGCATTGTGACAGCTTGTCCTAAACGTGCTTTATGTTACTTGTGTAAAGAAAATAAACTGCTCTTAGATTGTCAGTTTCATCAGAGTATTAGAGTGGGAGAGCATTGTGTGTTGCTTAGGGAATTGTCATATTTTAGCAGTTTTACATTCGTAGTTTCATTACAAAAATAAAATATCTGAAATTGCAGTTTCCAAGTGCCGGGCTGAGCCCTACTATTCATCTTGCTGACAGCTGCAGTGTGGAAATACACATACTGACAGCAATTTCAGCTACGGCCTGGTTAATAATTCATTGTAGGAATTAGGTTTTTTGGGGGGGGTTTGTTAATGCGACATTAAATTACTGACTGAATACAGTTGTTTGCATTTAACAGACTTTTCCATAAACATTAGCAAAACAGATATAAATGTGTAACATATGGTTATTTTGTTACATTTGAGAGAAATTGTAGCAAACACTAAGGGCTTATAAATAAATACTTGGCAAATCAATTTAATTTGTAGTTTATTTCCAAACCTCATCTCTGTACCTTTCCTTATAACAGATGCAAGGCTTCCATGTACAAAGTGAAACCCAATTACAGCAAGTAAGAAATAAACATCTGCTGTTTTGCTATGGAGGTTGTGTTTCTTGCTCTTTAATCCAGTTTTAGGATGAAGAAGTTGATTTGGTATCGGCCAGGCTTGTAAATGAACCAATCACATTTTGGTTGAACGCATCGAAGTTCCAACCCAGTAAATCTCCCCAGTGCGTTTCAGTTCTTCCTCTGATACAATTTAAAACAGAACATAAGTGTATTTGGATCGACAATCCTGCAGTGTTAATTTAAAAATCCATATAAAAATGTGCATTATGCTGCAGTGAAGCTGCAGTTGTAAATCTGGGTTTTATCTACACAGTCACTTATTTCAAGTCATTTATTGCCTTATGAGTCCATTTATATACATTCAAGCTGTCTTCTTTTTCGTTCCATGTCAAGTTAACACGTTAATTAAAACCAGACGGTTTGAGAAATACAGAACAAGTCAATCGAAGAAAAAAAGTAAAAGAAAAATAGGTTAATATTTTTAGTCCCACCCTTTATCTCTCTAAAATAGATGCCAGTCATGCCTAATGCTCTATTCTATAAAGGTCCCTCTGTCTATCTATCCCTCAAGCTGACTTGTTACCTCATGTACAAGTTTGTGAACACATGCTCATATATCCAGGATTCTCGGGCTTGCTTGATTGGTGTGTAGGGAGGAAAGAGGTTGCTGCTCAAGCTTCGAACTTCTAACTGGTGATTGGTTCGGGGTGTATTGGAGTTGTGAACTGGAGGATG